AAGCGGAGCAGAAAGTGTGAAAGTGAGGAGTATATTTCTTGTTTCCTCTCTCGTCTACCTTTTCGTGTTGCTCTCGTGTATGCAGAACGCAAAACCTGCACACATATAAAAAAAACCAACGGCGACGTCTATATTCGCCACGTTTTCATAGCGAAATTTTCACTTTCGATGTCGTTTTTCGGAGATTTCAATTTGGTCCTGAATTTTTTTGAAGTAAAATTATGGAAATACACAACTTTGGGAACATGTTAATGGAAAAATTATATACATTTTTGGTCGATGTCCCCTTTTAAACTATTCTAGGCCCTTTTACCAGTTCAAGGGCCCTCAAAAAAGTTGTAGATATTTTTATTGGGAATTTTTCTGAGTACGCTGATAGACAAAAATTTTTTTAAACAATTCGGAATTTATTTGATATTCAAATACTGGATTTTTTCAATTTCCACAAAAAATGAAAGAGTTTCTGGAACTACCAACTTGAAAAAAAAACCAATGGGATATTTTTCATGATCCTCTACCCCAATAAATCACGCCAATCGGCTGCAACAGTTGATCCCCCGTAGTATTTGACACCTGCGCAAGGCTGCTCATTTCATGTCGGACAACATCAAAAATCCTCTCTTTTCATCTTTTTCAACTTGCATCTTGATTGGATTACACCCCTCTTTCTCACTCCTCTGATCACTCGTTTTTCTATTATTTTGTTCCTGTTGAAAAAGTTTGCACCCGGAAAAAATCAGTTCTATCCTATCAAATTCTGAATGAGCTCTTTCTAGATTCATGAATTTAGAAGAACTCGAAATTAGCTGCGATTTGAGAAGAAGGAGATAGAGATTTGTTTATCGTAGTATTTCACACATCTGTCTCTCGTAGAGTGATCCAATTTAGTTGTGCTTCTTTCTTTAGTACACAATAGGGATTTTGGGTTGGACAAGGGTGACCTTTGGCGATGATTTGAAAGTTGTTTTAGAAGTTTCTGATTTGGAAAGATACTATTTTGTGAAACTGGAAGTCTGTGATGTCTTGTATTTCAGAAACGGTTGGTACCTGAAATTCAGAAATTTATTATTTTTTTCAAAAATTCTAGTAATTTCCATTTTTAGGGGATAACCCCTTCTCATTAAAAAGTCACTTTCACTATTGATTCTTTGAATTTTTACATTTTACTCTGAATTTGTGAATTTTTGAATTTCTGAATTTCTGAATTTTTGAACTTCTGAATTTCTGAATTTTTGAATTTCTGAATTTTTGAATTTTTTGAATTTTAAAATTTCTAAATTTCTGAATTTCTGAATTCTTTTTGTGTTGTTGTTGTTTTTTTTAAAGTTACAGACAGCGAAATTCTAGAGACCAGCAAATCTATAATTTCCTCAAGAATTCCCACCCACACTTCTATTTCTGCTCATTCCCTATTTCTCTCTTTTGATCTTCCTTTAAGAAATCTGAGATCCTCCTTCTCCTCCTTCACTCTATCTCAGTTGCAGAGCAGCATGCAGATGCTCTATGACCTTGCCCTCTGTCATTTTAGTTATCATCTGTCTCTGGTGGTCCTTCTTTTTGCTCTCGTTAATTTTCGGATGGCATCGTTTATATATTTTTACCACCATCCTTTCGACATGTGCCATTCGTTGGTTTTATTGGAACAAGGCCGCTTTTCTCTCGTTCTGTTGACATATTTGATTGCCACCATGAGAAACTATTGCTCGGGTTCCTGATATCATTTACTTGTTCTCATGGATTCTTTTTTCCTCCCGATCACTTCTTTTTGACGACTATCAGTTTCTCTCGGCTATAGTCATTTTACCCCCAAAAAGGTTCTTCTTTGATTTGAAGCATCACAGATGGATCCTTTTGAGATTCGAATTTCGCGCGCTTCTCAAATTTCATTGGCTATAAGGCATAGAGATGATCTGACCGCCAATAATACTATCAACGTCCATTTCAAATTCCCCGGGTTTTAAGTTTTAGAACATAGGAATTTTAAATTCTTCCAAATGCTCAAATCTTTCTTGTGTTGCAAAAAAAGCTATTCGACTTTTTCAATTCCTATTTACAATTTATTTAATTTTCCTTCGTTTTTAGAAAACTTGATTAATGTACCTTTACCTCCAATACAAGAGCCTCCACAACTTTTCAAAAAATCGTTCGTAATTTATTCGGAAAGATTTTAATGGTTTTTGAAATTCAGTTCACTATTTTTGCCTAACTTTCGCAACTGAATTTTCTAGACCACCATTTTGAATAGACTAGAAATTACCTGATATTCGCCTTGGATGTTTTTAAAGTGATTTTAACCTGATGGCCTAACTTTCGCAAGTTGAATTTTCTAGGCCACCGACTTTTATGACCTAGAAATGACCTGATTTTTCAATTATAACGTTTTCAAGCCATTTTAGAATGGTGGCCTAACCATTGCAAGTTGGGATTTTTAAGCCACAATGGTGAATGGCTTAGAAAGAACCTGGTATTCGCCCTGTATGTTTTTTAAGTAATTTTAACATAGTGGCCTAACTTTTGCAAGTTGAGTTTTCTAGGCCACCAACTTTAACGGTTCGAACGTTCTCACTAATTCTCAGTTTTTTTCGAACTTATTCGTTTCCGAAAAATACAAACTGCTTCACAATAAACTATTGACGCAATTTATCAAAACTGACCGTACTGGGACTCCTTTTTCATAAATTTTACAGTATCTCCTGGAAAATTTCTTCGTGCCTTTTCTATCACACATTTCCACACCTACACACATTTCCTCACAAATCTGACCTATTTCAGCATCATCTCATAAGACCCCTTCACCTTTTTATAGTATTATGTTCTTCATTCTGCAAACGCCTTCATCATATTCTTCTTCTTCTCCACTGCTTCTTCTTCTTCTTCTTTTTTCTCTTATTTATAGTGACGTTCCCGTCATTCACCATCTCTCTGTACGCCTGGTGATGCTTGTTTTTCGATGACAATGCCCCTTTCCCTCTCACCTCAATTCATATTTCCAGACTCAACTATTGACGTCTTCTCACTTTCCAAAAAAAAAAAGAATAATAATTCGAATAGGAACGGAGGAACATGCCCGACGCCTACTTTCAACAAGGTTCCACGATGACTATGAATGCTCGTAGGCAGTACAGGTACGGTAGTTTGTTCAAAACGTTGTATATTTTTCCATTGTTTTCCGTTTTCCATTAGTCTCACCTACCTTCATTCTGTTACAATTTCCCATTATTTTCTACGTGAACGTTCTACTGTTGTCCTAAATTAGTTTCCGACTGCGTGGGTGCGTTGTGTCGGCTGGAGCCGCCCATTGGTACTACTGTACTCCGATCTTTCCTCCCAGAAGACGTGATCATGCTAACTGCAATCCTTCGTAACCCAATTTGTTTTCTAAAAGCTAAAGGGTTAGGAACAGGGCACATAATTCGGAGGGTACAATACAATTTAGGGGTAAAAATTCACAATTCCACAACTCCACAACTCAATTTTGCAGCTGTTTTGTATCCCGAATAGAATATTTTGTGCCCCTGAAACATTTTTATACCCCCAATGACCGTAAAATTTCTGTACCCTCCAAATTATTTGCCTAGGTCTGAAGCATCAGTTTTTGTTTTTTTGATCAGTTGCATTTTTCAGATCAGTTGCATTCGGAACATGGAAGGTCGGTGGAGCGAGGAATCTGACGGAACGACGGTCGGAAGAGCCAATGTCTAGACTCAAATGGTGAGTGGCATGTCTTTGAGTTGTTGTCATTATCTTGATGCTTTGCTCTTTTTTTTTCACATTTAGAAATCTCACTGTCGCTTGGATACTGTACATCTTCCTAATTTTAAAACTATCTGATATTTGTTAAGGCCTCGTTGATCTCTGAATATTCCGAAAATTCCGAAAATTCCACAAAATTTAGATTTTCTGAAAATTTAAGGATTTCAAAAAAGTCACATTTGAAACTTCGAAAATTGAATTTTGCTAGAAATTTCGAAAATTAAAAATCTGAAATTTTAAAAATATTCAAAAAATTAGAACGTCTCCGAATATTCAACACTGCAAAAAATTCAAAAATCTGAAATTCAACATTTCAAAATATCTTTCTAAAATACAGAAAACTGGAGTTCCTAATTTTTGAAATTTCGGGAATTTCGTAAAAACTTTCGAAAAGTTCAGATTATCCGAGAAGTTTTTATTTCAGAAAATCAGAAAAATTGAAAGTTAGAGAATTTCCAAATATCCGAATGTTTCGAAAACCGAAAAAATCTCAAATTTCAAAATTTTAATAACGCTGAAGTTTCTGAAATCGGTTAATTTGCAATTCGATCGACTTATTAGCCTAAAGAAACTCATTTTTTGAAGTTGGGAAACTGTAAAACCTGTAATAGAAGGGCCCCTGAGATTTACTTTTGAGCCAATTTATTTCGGTTCCTGTCATAATGTCAAAAGTATTTATTAGTTGACTCACTTTTGTTATCTTTCACAGAAACCGAGATAAGCTAGCTCAATATGGACAGTGTGAGGGCCCGTCTATTACAGGATTTACGGTAACTGTATCAATAATTTGAAGCCTCGATCCCTAAAAACGTTCCTCATGCTTCCGAACAGTATACCTCAGTTTTAATGTGGCAAATAGGATTATATGGATAACAATATAGTGGGTTGGGATGTTCCTCCTCCCAAAAATCTTTGAAAAGGTAAATCCCGCGTTGTTCTTCGCATTTGCCGACCAGTTCGTTTGTGTGTCTCGTTCTCTTCTGAATCCTCATGTATCCATCCTATCCCTATACCTACTCTCTGTATACTAATTGTCGTTGCCGATGGTCATTCAGCAGTTTCCTCTCTTCTCTGCAACCTGAAAAGCCTTCAATTCTTCGGTGTTTTATTTTGATTTGTTCCTTTTTCATCATGTTTGTATCGTTCTCATTCAGTTTGATTGTCTTCTTAAATGAGGTGGAACCAATAGAACAAATCACTCAGTAGGGGCATGTCTATTTTTATGTGAATGAGTATTTTAGTGCCTCTTTAAGAAGAATAACAAATGAAGAGGACGACAAGGAATTCATTTAATTGTAGCCGTTTAGATCAAAAAGAGACGCACTTTCTTCCAGATCAAAAGGGATCTGAATTCTCTTGAAGTTGATTTTTTTCTAGAAGAACCTACCGTAAAACCTGCAATAGAAGAGCTCCCACACTCTCAACATTGAGTCAATTTTTCTTGGCTCCTATGCAAGATATCAAAAATGTATCAACTAACAAAATACATCTGATATTATGATAAACAATTTATCGGCTGTCAACTTCCTAATATATTTGACAGGAACCGGGATAAATTGGCTCAAAATTGAAAGTTAGGTGCTCTTTTATTACAGGTTTTCCGGTATTTCAGATAAAAATGAAAATATTTCGATTTGAAGAGCTCAACTTGTCAATATTTTGTTTTGCATTGATAAGATTTTTCAGAAGGAAGCCTATCAGTTGTTGATTAAGAGCAACCAGTTTAAGTCTTCGAAAATCCGTAAATAGAACTGATATTAGCTCTTGAAATTTTTATTCAGATTTTAGAATCTGGTTTTTCTGAAAATCAATTTCAAATTTCGAACTGAAATTTCTGGAACATTTCTAGATTCTGGGAACATTGGAATCATTCTATTAATATTATTTGCATGGACTTTTTTAACGGATATTCGAATTTTTTGACATTCATGCCTATTTTTTTATGTTTACAGGAATTTGCAAATCCACCGTATTTCCTGTAATAGAAGCCTACCCAAACTTTCAACTTTGAGCTCAATTATCTCGATTCCTGTGAAAGATATCCGAAATTTGTAAACTGATAAAATATTTTTGATATTATGATAAACAATTTATTAGTTGACATTTTTTCATGTCTTTGACAGGAACCGATTGAGCTAAAAGATGGCGATATGGGATCTTTCAATGACAGGTTTCGCGAAGTAGTATTTTCTATGCTCCCTACAAAATTCAAGAATACTTTTTCTCTTTTTTTTCAATTCTCCCAATTTGTATCCATGTTTTCCAGTGACCCCTAAACAACTCATAAATTAGTGTCAGTTCACTGAACATCCCCTTTTTCAAATATCCCCCAATTTTACACTGGCAACATTCACACGTCCTCCATGCTCTCTTTCTACCTCCATCATCGCAATTAAGCCGCCGTTCCCTGATGGTCATCCGAAATCTAACCTTGAGACGTTTTTCGTTTTTCAAAGCTGCAGTCCCACCGTTTTTGAATTGAAGGACACGGAGGAGGCGTACGTTGAAATCGAATGATGATGATTATCTGACACTGTCCACTCAGATATTCATCCGAATAGAAATTCATCTTTTTGAAATGATTGAAAAGAGAAAGAAGGATGAAATTATAATTACTGTAAACTACCGTAAAACCTGTAATAGAAAGGTCCCTAGTTCTTGTGTTAGATATCAAAAAGTTTTCAACAAATGACAGTATGGGGCCTTTCTATTGCAGCTTTCACTGCCTATAATTTCCAGGCAGTTGTTTCAGAAACTTTTTTTCTTCCTAAAGTTCCCAAACAAAATTGCTATCATGAATTTCTTCAGATAATGTGGTTGAAATGGCATATGCGCACACATAAGCAATAGAGAAAAGCACACATAGTACCACTCTCGCTCAGAAAGAAACACTTTTCAATCGTTTCTTTTCTTTTTCCGTTCATTTTGTCAAATCGAAACAAACAAACAATGAAATTTGAGAAACCCCCCTTGAGGAGAGCACTTTTTGAAGAACGAAATCGCACAAATCGCACCCCAATCCACTAATTTCTCATCCATTTGAATATCCGATTTCTATTTTTTTTTCTCTCCAAGATTTTCCCCTTTTTTGATTTTTCTTAAGCTACAACTGTTAATAATGATTAGGCTAATGTTTGCTCCTCGCATCTTTTGAAGTACGTTTCCTCCCTCTTATCCGATTAGCTACTAGTTTTAAGTCACCATCCATTTGCCACGTCACTCATCTCTCAGCTGATTCCTTTTCTCCCACATTTGTTCTTTTTCAAGTCATAACGCAACTTGACACCTTCAATCACATCCCTTGTAGATGAAGAAGAAGAAGCCAGGTTTCCGGTTCTCTGACTTTTGTTTTCGTACGTTTTCCCTCCCCAGAATGTTCATCCCAGAGTGAAAAGGTAATGGTGTATTCCGGAAGGGCTACCTATTTATGAATCCACCACCCCGACCCCCAAACACACTCTCTCAAATTGGGATTCCTACGTTTTTTGCAGATATTCAGCTTTGCTAGTACTTCTAAACTCTTTTTTTCTTGTAAAGATAGGTTTTTTTATTAGTTGTAAAACCTGTAATGTAGAGGCTCCCAGGTATGTTCGAGCTCAATTATCTCGGTTCCTCTGAAAGATATCAAAAATGCATCAACTGATAAAATGTTGCTGATATTATGATATTCTTTTTCTCAGTTGGTCACTTTTTTATATCTTTGTCAAGAACCGAGATAAATTGCCTCAAAGTTAAAAGTAAGTGGTCCTTCTATTACAGTGTTCACAGTATCCGATTGCCGTTATTTCGAAAGTTCAAAAAATTGAGTTTTTAGATTTTTGAATTTTTGTGATATTGGAAAATTCTCAAAATCGCAAAATTTCTGATTTACTGAATTTACTATTTTCAAAGCTGGAGCAATCAAAAAACTCAAAATCTGATTTATGATGGTGTGGTTTTGACGAACTAAATTCCTTTTCACGAAAAAAATTCTCAAATTTTATCAAGAAGACGAAATGCCAGATTTCTGAATTTCAGGAAATTTGAAAACTAGTTAATATCGATTTTTGAAGAAGTTTTTGATTTTTAAAATTTCGAACTTTCTGCGGTTTTGAATATTTGTAGATTCTGGAATCTTTTCAATTTTTCAAAATTCTGATTTTCTAAATTTCTTGATATTTCAGATTTTTTAATTCTCGAAATTTCCGGATTTATGAATTTTTGGAATATTAAACTTTGGAAATTTCATATTTGATTTATCTGAACTTCCGAAATTTCTCAGCAAGTCTGAATTTTGTGTGATTTCAGAATTTCAGAGATAAAAAATTAGCTCAAACTGTACAGTATGGGGGCCCTTCTATTACAGGTTCTAGGACACTTTCTTCCTGGAAAAATATTGTTCGGTTTGAAAAATATTGTTCGGTTTCAAATTTCTGTTTTTTTAGGACTGGCTAACCCCGAGCTACCAATTTTTTATTATTTTCAAAGCTGGAGCAATCAAAAAACTCAAAATATGATTCAAAATATGACATATATGCTGGTGTGGTTTTGACAAGCTAAATTCCGAAAAAATTGGACCTCTAGAATCAAAAATCTCTCCCAAAGTGTTCGCACATTCTCACGTACTTTGCTATTAGTGATCTCAAAAACCACTGTGTATATTTTCGAGTCAAGAGAGACATAGAGCAACACGCCCGATTCTTGATCTATCTTTCGGGTGGGTTCTCCTGCTTTTCGTCTGACATGATTTGTCACTCAACTCTCTCTTCTTGAAATTTTCCATGTGCCTCTTTCTCATATATCTTGACTTATAATCATCCACAAATCTCAACACTTTTCATGACCCTTTCTTTTTTGTTTCTCATATAAGCAACCCCTTGCCGTTCTCAACCATATGTTTGCAATTGTATACACGTTGACTTATATGGTAGTCGGGTGACAATGAGCATCTTGTGCTCTTTCTCTCTTCTTCTGTTCGTCTGTTCACCCTAGTAAGTACCGCCCCTTATTCGTTTGTGTATGTCTTAAGAGGAAATAGCTTTCTGTGCTCCGACACATAATCTAGATATGTCCTTTCCCAGAGCCAAATTGTTTTTTGGGACTTTCCCCCGAATCCGCCAAAATCCCTTGATGGATCAGATTTTGACAGTTTTCTTCTCATTTTCGAACGATTCGCCAAAAGGTGTGCAAATAAATGAAATCTCTGTCAAATTGGACACCTTTTTCTCTCTATATCTCTCTCACAGTTTTGACCTTTTTCATCAAAAAAACTTTTTTGTCCCTCTTTTCCTTTCTCTATGAATTCATTCGTTTGGATGCATCCCCAGAGATCATCATTATTGTTTTCTATATTATTCAACCAGATTTTTGGTACCGTCTGTCACCAGACTCTTGTTTACTGTTTTAGTTTTGAGGATGGTGAATGCTTCTGTTTGAAATTATTAAGAATACCGTAGTCATCAACTTTTTCGATTTTGGAATTTTTTTGGAAATCGGCTCATACAGTAACCAGCAAAGGTGTCCTATTCATGGTGATTTTTTCAATTCTATTCGCTTTGGACATTCGGACATACCGTAGAACCTGTAACAGAAGGGCAATTAGAGTAAAACTGCAATAATTCAAAAAATTGAACATCTGAAAATCAATATCTCAAAAAATCAAAAATTCTGAAATTCAGGAATCTGGAATTTCGAACTTTTAAAAACTTGGGAAGTTTGTGTAAACGCTTTTTTTAATTCAAAAATTCCGAAAAGTTTTGAATTCAGAAAATGTAAATTTTCGAAAATTTCCAAATGTTAGAAAATTCTAACATTGTAAATTCTAAAAAAAACAAATTTAAAAAAGTGCAAAATTACAAAACTGGAGAGTTTGGAATTCGATTGACCTATTACCCGAGCCCGTTTGACAACCTAAAAAACTCACTTTTATGAAGTTCAGCTACCGTAATACCTCTAGAAGAGCATCCAAACTTTTTAATTTTGATCCAATTTACCTCCGTTCCTGTCAAATGATATCAAAAAGTTGTCAACTGATAATTTGTTTATCATAATACCAGAAACATTTTATCAGTTGTCACATTTTTGATATCTTGTATAGGAACCGAGATAATTGGGCTCAAGTTTGATAGTGTGGGGGCTCTACGGCTTTTACGGTAATTCGTAGTCTAGTTCTACCTACTAAAAATCATTTGAAATTTTAAAATTGACTTTTTTCGCGAAAACAAATTTTAAAATTTAATGGTCATGTAATATGATTCCCTCTGGTCTTCTCATCAATAATTTGACTCTTTTGACATATATTTATGGCGTGTGCTCCTTCTTCATTTTCTCCATCTGCTCCTGGTCTTCTTTCTCTGTCCTCCTCCTCTCTAACTCAATATTAATCGTCATTTCCTGTCTCTCCTCTCCCAAATTTTTCTTATCTTAACTCAATCTAGAAACACGAACACAAAACAAAAGCATACACCCATTTTCCACCCAACACCATCCACCACCATCCACCACCATCCACCACCAACAAACATTTTATTGGCAGAACACTTTCTTTTCCATTTCTTATCTGCTTTTAAATTCCCATCAACTTTTCTTCTTGCCCCTTCTTTCTTCAAAATGGCCAACTACCAACTTTTTTTTGTCATTTTGTCCTTCTCTCCATACATCCTCGATTGGACTCCTCTTTGAGCATGAGCACACACAAACTGAGAAAAACATTTGGGGAGACACTTTCCGGTCTCCTTCGGAATACGAAAGAGGAGCACAAATTTCAAGGGTCTTCCCGAGGAGTCCAGATTTGGCCTTTTTTGAACATTTTTTTTCAATTTGTGTTCTTCAAAAATTACGTCAATTATGGAGAAGATCATGTCACTTGGGCTCTCTATTTCGGCAGAAGAGATTTGAGAAATGTACAGTAGTCAAACTTCAAAAAATAGGAATTTATGATTTCTGTTTTCCCATCCTGGAAACATAAATTACCTCCAACAGCTGATCATGATGTCAAACAAGAAATAATCTTGAAAAAGTCCAACTGCTGTCTTTTGTGATAAAAATACACAATCAGCTGTCTGTGTTATCAGATAACTTGAAAAAAAGAGAATTGAGATCAATTTCCAGAGTTGAGGGTCTTCTTCTCACAACTGTCAGTTTATAAATTTTGCGACCATTGGCCACTATAATCCACATGTTCTTGCAAAGACTCTCTCCAATTCGACTTTTTGTCTTTTTTCCTAATCCTTTTGTTATGTTCTTAATTGTTTAGTCTTTCTCTTGAAGTTTGCACGTTTCTATCTCTGGAATTATTTTCTTTAAAGTAGTAGGAAATCCAGAATCTAATGAAAAGTTAGCACTTATTCTCTCTTCGTTTCCCTCTCTCATCATTTCTCATTTTCTATTTTCAGCTCCTCTCCGGAACTACACCATCTGTCAACAGCCGCCGCGTCTTCAACTATTTCTCCAATCACTGGTTCTTCTACACTTGGTCCTTCATCTGGTCTTCTGAGTGTCGATAAACGGCACAGTCGTCTCGGGGAGAGCAGTCCAAACCTTTCACGCATTCACCATACTCACACACAATTATCACTAGGTAAGGTTTTTTTGTTGGAAAAGTGTGTAGTTGGATTGATGGAAGCGTATGACGTAAGTACTCTAATAGAAGGCCACCCAACCCGTCAACTTCAGAAAAATTAGAAATTTGAAAATTTTGAGAATTTTCAAAAGTTGAAATATTCGAATATCTTAAAAATCACAATCTTTGAAATTCCGAAATTTCATGAAATCGGAATATTTGGAATTCGATGGAACTACCCGAGCCAGTTCAGTAGCACTAAAATTCTCTTTTTTTTTTGAAGTTCAGCTACCGTATTTCCTCTAGTAGAAGGTCACCCAATCCGTCAACTTTGATCTTGTATATCTCGGCTCATTTTAAAAGTAGCAATAAATAGTCAACTAACAAAATAATTTTGATTATGTGATAAATATTTTGCCAGTTGACTACTTCTTGATATCTTTCACAGAGACCGAGATATATGTGCTTTAAGTTGACGAGTTAAGTGACTTTCTATCAGAGCGATTATGGTAGTTCATAATTCGGATTTTGTGAATTATACATTTGAAATTTGTATTTGATGGTACTCCATCAAAATTCAAACGTTTCGATTATCCTCATGGAGATCATCACCTCCTACTAAAAATTTTTGAATCCCGATTCTCCCCACCTCTTCTTCTAATCTCTCCCGATCCGATCGTTATCTTGGTGGACTTGGAATGCCAATTAGCACAACAAAAAACAACAGCTTTTACGATGTTACAACCTCCCTCTCGTCCCGTCAAAATGCCCCTTATCTCGTTCGTTTTTTTTTTCCGCCGCTCGCACCTCCATAATGACCATATCAACTTTTGAATTCTAAAGAATTCGTCCTCCCCAATTAGCCTGATTCTATTAACTTTGTCTCATTCAGGTCTTCCTAACAAAATGAATCACACCAACGACTTCTTCTTAAGCACGGAATACTGTCAATACGTGAGCAGTAGAGATGATATTAGTGAGTTGGTTTGTAAACCCTCTAATAGAAGGGCGCCCAAACTTTGAGTCAATTTATCTCAGCTTCTGTCAAAGTTATGAAAAAGTTTTCAACTGGTATATTGTTTGATATGATATCTGCATTGTTTTATTAGTTGACACATTTTTGATATCTTGCAAGGAATTGAGATAATTGAGCTCAAATTTGGAAGTGTGTGAGCTCTTCTATTCACGGTATTGGATTCTGATGTTCCCAGTTTTGCCCGTTCCTCGAAATTCAAATCTTCTCAATTCTCCTAACCAGATATTCTCGTTTTGCTTACTTTCTTTTCCCAAATCTTATTCTCGCATACATATGAATAGGTAATGCCCATCCCCTTTTGATTCCCAATAGCCATCTGGTCTCTTATCCAATCCCTCCGTTCTTTTCCTCCGATCACTTTTGCATTTCTAATTTTTGTTTCCTTCTGATTCATTCAAAAAGTTTCTGGTTTATGTTTCCTCAAAAATCTTTGACCATCTGTTTTTTCTTTGTGAATGAAAACTGTAATGTAATGAGTAATCACTTTATGAATGTGCCATTCTTTGTTTCCCGCCTACAGTTTCATTTTTCATTCGTTCGGATTTTTTTTTCATTCAATTGAAGCTGAAAATCTTTGAAGAAACCGAAGAACGTCACCGAGAACAAACCTGTTCATTTTGAAATACCTTCTGATTAAAATCTTATTATTTTGTTTTTGGCAACAATATGAAAATAGGTTGTCTGTTTAGAAGGATATTGCTGGAAGGAGGTTTTTCCGGGTTTTAGAATTTATAGAAAAATATAAAAAAATTGCCACAAAAAAGCTGATAATCTAGGTTTTTTAAATCTCAGCTTAATCTGTAAATCTGGCAAATTGAAATTAATTGTTATTGTTATTTTGGTTTAAATCGGAGATGTGTACATCTACTGTAACCTAAAGTTATTTTTATGTTTCAGAATTTATTTCTCGTTATTTATTTATTTTTTTGGAGTTTCTGAATTTCCGATTCTTTCAATTTCTGAATTTCCGATTTTCTAAATTTCCGAATTTCCGAATTTCTAAATTTCTGAATTTCTAATGTTCTGAATTTCTAATTTTCTGATTTTTAGGTATACTGATTTTTACGCACGGAAATCGAGAAAAAAGTCCGAAAAAACTAAATGATTTCAAGTTACTGTAGTTGTCGTTGTCTGACTTCCAGCCACCAGCGTTTTCTTAAACAACCCCAATTTTTCCATATTTGTACCAGTATAATATCAGTTACTTAACATCCAATTTCATCTCAGAAAACACAATTTCATATCCTTCAAACTATTCCGGTAGTGAAATCTATCTCCTACCAGTTAGCCGTTGCCCATCATCTCCTACTTGCTTTTTCATCTAATCCGACATTTCACTTTGTTTTTTCTCCTTCTTCATACTTTTTTCTCCTTACCTTCCCACCCATCAAAACGTCCTTCAAAATGGCAACTTTCACCCAATTCGCTTGGTTTGTTGCCTTCTTCTGCCACCACCAATTGTCTTCTTCTTTCTTTATAATATCCAAATTCTGATTTATATCATTCTTAACCGAAAAAATAGGAAAAGGGTATATACTCTTAACGTTACCACCTCGTTTGCCACCCACTTGAACGAGTTAAGAACACTTGAGACACAAAAAAAGATTGCATAGAAGCATTTTTGTCTCTTTTTTCTATTTTTCTCACCTCTTCGATCCATTGTCTCTAAAGTTTTGAACGGTATTTATTTTTCTTTTGTTTTTTACGGCTCGTTGAGCATTAACAAACAGGCGGTGTCTTCTTTTTCTTTTCCATTTTTTTCCCGAGCCTTATGAGCAGCATAGCAAACAAATCTTGTTTCGCCTCGGCGGTCACTTGTGATCTCTTTCTCCAATTATTCCTTACCTAACAGTTTATGCCTCAAGTGCCTTTTTTTCGATTTCTTCCAGTATTTGCTCCTTTGAGCTTTCGCCGTCGTCCATTGTATCGTTCTAATCACGAGATATTGTCCCCTTTTGTACTGTTTTTGCTACTTGATCTTTTTTCTTTTTATCTTTTCGGAGGAACTTTTTAAGGGAGTAGATCAATGAGCAGGAGGAGAAGAACAATTTTGATATTTATCAAAGAAATCAAAGTAAATAGAAAAAAGTGTAATTGATCTTACTGATTCAGGGTTCAGCAAATAGAAAAAAAAGTCAGATGGTTTTGATTAAAAATTTAGGAAACCGAATCTGAGAAGAAGAGATGTGACTATCGGAAGATTGAGTCTGAAGTCACCGTAAAACCTGTAATAGAAAGGCCCCCACATTGTCAACTTTGAGTTGAATTATCTCGATTCTTGTAAAAGATATCAAAAAGTGGTCAACGAACAAAATATTTTTGATATTTTGATAAACACTTCATCAGTTGACTGGTATCTGATCTTTCACAGGAACCGAGACAAATTGAGTCAAAGTTTGCCGAATTCGAGAAGGCGTGAGGCTATCGAAACATTGAGTCTGAAATCATGTAGTGTGTTGTCAGCTACTGTAATCCTACAGTAACAAATGGATATTTTGTGGAAGAAAATATCTTTTCTGGTTACTGAAACTCTACTTTTTTATTCCTTCGGAAAACTGAAACAAAAAAGTTTTCCTCTCCTAGGAGCCCTTGCTAAACCGGCAACTTTGAGCTCAATTATCTCAATTTCTTTAAAGATATAAATATTATGACAAACATTCTATAGATTGACAAATTATATTATGACAAACATTCTATAGATTGACAAAGCCCGAGGTTTTCAAAACGCGTGCATATTTTCCAACCTCATCCCCTAAATTATGTCAAATGTCATCTTTTGGGTCAACATTCCCAAGTTTTGCAAGTGTTCTTCGTAGTCTTTGCTCTTCGCGGTTTGCAGACCCAAACCATCATTCTAATCCGTGTTCGTCGGGCGGATTTTTTTCTAATTTTTCCAACTTTTCTTTTTTCGGAAAACCTATTTTGAGCCGACCAGTTACCGTGTACAAAACTTGTTTCACTTCTATGGTTTGATTAATAATCCGAACGTTACACATGTTATGTTTCGGAAACTTAATGAGACATCGTCTTCTCGTGTCTTTTTCAACATTGACAAGCTTCACGTACTACTGTACTAGTGTGTTGCTCTTTGCGCGGAAAGACCGGCCGTCTTATTGACAAAGTTGAATCAACCCAAGGGGGGTTTCACTACTCGGGGAAGTGAAGCCATCTTTTGAGAGGAAAAGGTTGGGCTTAACCCCCTTCTCTCTCTTATCGATAAACTGACAACAATACTTTTTTATCAACATTATCCGCCCCACGAGCTGATTATTCTGACGTGGGTGCTTTGGAAGACGCGCTGGAGGCGACGGATGTTCTTTATTCTGTCGCTCATCGATCTATGGGCGTGGCTTGTTACATTTAAGGATTTCTCGTTGGCTATTGTCGGAGCCAATTCAGGTAATATTCTTTGGACTACCTTTCTTTTTTTCTGACTTTTTCTTCTTGTTTGTTTTTTTTTCGCATAATTGGTACGTCTTATCCATCTTCGTCTTCTGGAAACATGTCAAAATTTTAATTGTTGTAAGAAAAAAAAAGAATGTTGTTTTTTTTGGAAACGTTGATTCAACGACGTTCACCCAGATTCTTTACAAAAATTCGAATGTCTCTGAACCTGAACTTCTTTATTCTGAATTATTGGTCTGATAGGAACCCGTGCAAGCCCATCCTATCCGAACTTTGAGTTCAATTATCGCGTTTCCTACAAGAGATATCGAAAGTTGGTCAACTAATAACTTATCCAGCATAATAGAACCAATATTTTATCAATTAACAAGCTTTTGATATCGCTTATAGTTACCGAGATAATTGCGTTCAAAGTGCGCGCAAAGGGTGGGGGCTTCTTTATCTTTAACTTCGATCCTCAACTTTTTTAGTGCATTGAAATCTCCAACTGAAATTTATGCAAATTGTACTTGTGCCAAACTGCTTCTTCTTCTTTTTTCTACTCTTTCCTTACTCTAAAAACTCTTTCTGAATGCATTCTTCGCTGGCTCCGGCTCAAAGTGTTCTTGCGACAAAAAACGACGAAAGTGAATGCAAATCAAGTTTGCATCCCATCAGAGCACTTTCCATCCAATTGAGTTCTTTTTCTTATTGACATGTTTTTTCCTTTTGATTTTCTCTCTGAGCTATCACCTAGTGTGTAAAAACCGATAAAACGGGCTAACCGCAGTTCTTCTCTTCCCACTGATTCCACCCCGGAATCCTATCAGTATGCATAGCAAAAAGAAGAAAAAAAGATGCAAAAAGCGAAATGTTTGCTAACCAACAAACATATATCAGGAGGAGGAGGGCGCCACAGAAATGTTGCGAAAAGATGACACCTGCTATACATTTGGGAATCCGATGTCTCTTCTGATTTCTATTATCTTTCGCCCTATTCCCCCCTCCACTTTTTTCTCGGTCTCATCACGTTCAGATGAGGGACACGAATCTAATTGAAAGTGCCAAGGCACGGCGGCCCTCGGCTTCTTTGTCACGGAACAGTTGTCCATCGCTTCTGAAGTTTCTGTCGTCCGGAGGGCAAAACGTTTTGTCCGATTTTTTGTTCCGGATCTTCTTATCACTACTGCTGACCCCTGGCTATCTGCTATTGCAACTGATATTCGTATAGAGTAATGGTATACGAGTTATCGTATGTCGTGGCGAGAAACGAACAACAAGGTTTGTCAAAGAAACGAAAAAAGACACTGTTGGCTCGTTTCGCATTTTTATAACTTTTTTACACTTCTTTTATTGTTCAATGACTGCATTTGATGTCAGATTTGAGACAAAAGACTAGCATTATGTATGGAAGGTTACTGTAGTTCAAATCTTAACTTTGCGAAAGTCTGTTTAGCTTTTTCTAACATACAGTAAGCACTCTGTTCTTGAACTTTGAGTTCAATTATCTAGGTTCCTATGAAAGATATCCAAAAATGGTCAACTAGCAAAATGTTGCTGATATTATAGTAAACATTTTGTCAGTTGACCAGTTTTTGATATCTGTTACAGGAGCCGATATATATGGGCTCATATTTGACAGTTCGGGCGGGCTTCTTTTAGTGAAAATATAATATAGCGACCTGCGAAATTTCTCGAAAAATCCGAAATAAAAATGAAGAGCACAAAAAATGTCTAATTGAACAGAAACTGTTTATTATCAAAAGAATCTAGGTTCCGATTTTCAGGTCAACATTTTCAAATTTCTAGGTCATGATCTGGATTTCAAATTTCTAGATCATGACTTAGATTCTAATTTTTAGGTCATGACCTAGATTTCAGTTTTATGTCATGACCAAGATTTTAATTTTAGTTCATGACCTAGATTTCAATTTTAGGTCATCACTTGAATTCAAATTACTAGGCGTTTACGGTAGCATAAAACCGGTGATGATTCCAGACTTTCAAAAATAAAAGTCGGGCAAAAGATTCAAAATTTCAAATTTCTCTGACACAGTGAATTCCAATCAGTTTTCTGTTTCAAAATAACGACTATTCACGCTCTATTTGGCAGTTACTGTTTGTTGTAAAACCTTTTTTACATCTTTCCCCCGACGACGACGCCAGAAGAGTCTCTTGAATAAACGGGACAAGTCCGGGTCAATAAGAAAAGATGTCCCTCTTTCTCGGAACATGGAAAACTTTAAACTGTGAAGTATTCTGGTTCTGAATCTTTATATTGCCCTCCGTTAGTATCCCTAGTTTAGTGAATCAAAAGTACGAGTCTCTGCCAAGAGTACAAAGTGTATTTACATGCCAACTAATGAAATGTTTAGCATATACATACTCTCCCTCTCTCTTCTCAACCCCTAATTCATTGAAATTCATTTTCCTTTTACTTCGGGTACTCTTCTCTCGTTTTAAATAACATGGTGGTCCTTCCTTCTTTCTCACGACCAATGACTCTTCTCAAGAGGTCTTCTTCTTCTTCTGGTTCCACTGTTATTTTGTCTCAGCATGTGTCTTCTTCTTTTCGTCTTCTTATTTTTTTTTCCCATCCCCACCACACACTTTGGCCATAAACTCAAAATATTTATGAGGAAAGGAGCCCGCCCGTCCCGTGTGGTTGCATGAAAATGAGAATAGTAGCTGTAGTCGGTGTCGTAAGAAGCTTCCGAACGATGCCTTTTGCTACTACGGAAATCGTCTCCAACTGCTTCTTTCTCTTTTTCCCTCATCGTCGAAATTCATCAAACCGAGAGAAGATTCAATTGCATTTCCCGTTCGAATCGGACCTTTTAGTATTGTAACATTCGAATTTGAAGGCTTTTCTTATGAAAAAGAGGCTGTGTTTTAAATCATTTTATTGGGCAATTTCAAAAATACTGCTTCCACATGGTCAGCTGTCAGTTCACTTTTGAATGTTTTGGCATAGTGACGTCCAGTGTGATTCAGAGATCGTTTTTACCTGAAAACTCTGGAATTTCTGTAATTCTTTCATTTTGCGATTCATTATGACGTCAATTTTCAATTGCTCATTCCCCAATTAAATTTATAGAGTGAGCACAAAACAAAAGGAGTGCCCCTTCCGGCTCCGTCAACACACACTCAATGACTCTATTTTTTCACACTTGTCTCCCTTCCTCGTAATTGTTTTTTTTTCTTCGTTTTCTCACTCCGAAAGTGTTTGTCTCGTAATGGTAATCCCTGGAATTGCTCTTTCTGTTTTTGTCGCTTTTGTCAATTTTCATGTCTCCGTGAAAACTGGACAAACACTCCTTCAGTTTCTTCGTTCCTCACATTTTTGTCGGTAATCATCCGCCCAGAGACATTCCGTTTGTTGTGTCGCATTCCAAAATTTTCTTATCTTCTGCGGTTTCTTTCTGGTTCAGCAAGAAGTAGTTTTATCAATTGACAGGTTCGCATATTGAGAGCACAAACACAACAGTAACTCGGCGACTACTTGAGATGAGTGTGGGGCGCCCAGTTGGTGTACAGAAACCCTCGTTTTTTGCACGTTTGATCATGTGAAATTATCATACGACATAGTTTACAGTTTTCATTATAATTGTAGTTTTCTCATTCTTATTCGTGTTATACTTCCGAAATCTTGTGATTGACTAATTTGAAATTTTCTTTCTTCATTTTTCTATTATGGGGTTATTCAGGGAGTCGGCAAAAAAGGAAAAAAACTCCGCGAAAACTCGGAGAGTGTTCCAATCTGGCTGAAACTTTAAGAAAAACTGGAGAAAACTATAGGAAACATTTTGCCAAAGTTTGGGGTCAAAATATCGACTTTGAAAATTTGGCTGGAATTTCTTTTTTGCCGACTCCCTGAATAACCCCATTATAAAAGTTTTATATCCACTCGAAAAATGGGAATTATTTAAAAATTTTGCCCGAAATTTGATTTAAAAATCTCGTTTCTGTGCAATTTTCTATTATGCTTGTCTGAGAAAAAAAGGTTGAGACGCAGAGAAAATGTGTCTGCACCGTTTGTGTTCTATTTAGGCTCTCCGCTTCGATATCGCTACCGTATTCAGACTGCAAAAAATACTCTCTAACATACTTGTAAAATTCCGGGCCCGGCCCGGAAGGCCCGGTGTCAAAAGTTCTGTATTTTTGAGCCAAATTTTGAGCTCTCAATATAATTTTTTACATTTTTTTTTCGTATTTCGGATTGTTTGTCTGTCTGATCAAAAAAAAAATCGAAAAACTCGAAAAAAATGGCCCGGCCCGTTACAAGTATGCTCTCTAACCTTTTTTTTTCTCAGACAAGCATAATATGCGAGTGTTTGCGTCCTACAGTAGGCGGGAATTTAAATTGTAACTTTTCTCACTGCACCTTTTTTCGAATTCCATCGAATAAATTCTGAAAAATTCAATTAGAGACTGTTTAGCATATTCAAATTGGTGACGTCTTTCATAAACTGATACTTTCAGACTCGTTCAACGGCAATTCAACCGGCAAGTCAACAGAACCGATCCAAGCGGCGTTTCTTCGAAAATCGCGAAAGGATGGTGGTGGACTGCTCCATCTAGACGACGTTTCCACATCACATCATCATCACCAACAATCGAAAAGCGCACGGAATTTGAAGTATTCGCAAAGTTCTCGTCGGAAATACGAACAGACGAACAGTGGTAGCTCGACGGACGATTCTGACAGAGGAAGTGGAACTAGTGCACATCATCGGTAAGAAGGCGTCACACAGCACATTGTGGTTAAATATCCTGTAAAAGTTCCGCATCATCGCAGACTTTCTGTTGTAAAATTAAAGAAGTTTGTCACTTTTTCACTTTTTCTACGGGCGAAAAAAAAGATTTCGCGGCCAAGGATTGGGTTTCACATGTCTTCAGCAGTCGTTTGCCGGACCGCTCGGTTGCCGAGTCGTGCACTTTTCATTCGAAAAACACGTCTCATTCTTACAATTTTACTTCGAATTCTTCAGATAAATAGGTCGTTTTCTCGATTTTTGACTCCAGTTTATCCAATCTTTTGAAAAATGGTTTTTCGTGAAATTTTTTGAATGAAATTGCAAAAAATCATGTTTTGGAGCCGAAATTGAAAGTTGCGCACGGTTTCGCCGCACAGTTTTCCTCATGGTCGTATTCAAATATGCAAAAAAAACTGTGCGGCCGAACCATGCCAGGCTTGCAGTTTCGACTCCGCACACTTTTTTCCGAAAAATGTTTTTCGTCGGAATTTTTTGTGTTTTGTTCTGCCTTTGCAAGTTTGCCCTGTTGAAAAAAAACAGATTTCGTTTCAAAAAACAAAAACTGTTTCTGCTACAGTATTCCAACCGCTTTCAGTCGATTCAATCTTCAAGCTAATTTTCTCCAATTCAATTTTCAGATCGCACAGTGCCGGTCCTCACACAACATATTCAACAACCTCTACACACGCCATCTCAACGACCGAAATGAACAGATCCGGAGTTATGCCACGTGGAGGTGCTGGTTCTAACGGAGAGAGCAATACGACGTTCCTTCGTGCAACGAAGCGATTCTTCAAAAAGATATACACATCAGCCACTCTTCCAAAGAAACAAAATAGCACATCAGTGGACAACTTCCAGAAGTCTTCTGTGTTTTTCGATGACGAGAATCATCAAATGCATCATAACCAAATCGAAAGAATGCAGAAGAAGGCGCCGTTGTCGTCAGATGAGAATTATTATTCGAATCATCTAGATGACGATTATGACGATGAGGTAATAATTTTTGTTATAGCTTTAGCGGGTGGGGCGAAAATTTAATGTTTTTGCATTAAAATCTATGATGTGCAAATCTCTTTACACTAGCAAATACCTAGGTTGTTCCGCTAACTAAGAATTCTCTAAAATTCGAATTCTGCTCAAAAATTCTTTCTTCAAATTGGGCTCCCAATAGGCGTTCAGGCCATATGTAGCTTCGTATTAAATTTCACAACAGTTTCAGACGATGCGTTCTGAGAATGCTACCATGGACATCAGTTATCCAGACAGTGGATTCGAGATGGATCGTGCTTCGACTCCAGAACAGTCTAGTGTATCCATGACGTCTACATCGAAAAGTGGAGATGAACCGGTCAATTTCAACAACCTATTCGAACAGTTGAAGAGAGAAATGGTACGATTCAATTTGAAAAAATCGCCTTTGTATAATTTTTGGTTCTTTTAGAAAGAAATGCGAGAACGAGATGCTCAGATTCTTGCCGATCTTCAACGCGTCGAAACTCAAATCCAAACAGTGAAGCAGGCTCAAATCCTGGCTTCTTTGCAAGACGAATTCGAGCCGGTGGAAAGCATGCAACTCTAGAAAATAGTTCTCAAAGTTCGATAGGATCCCCGTTTTATTATTTCTTTTTTTCCCAGTGGACGTTTCCATTTTACCCAGTGTCTCCTGTTTTTTAATTGTCTCAAAATAAGTTGTCGCCGGTCTAGTCCTCCTCATCATCCCAAAATCGTTATTAAGTGTTGAACGGGTACCATTTTCTTCTCTCTCATCTTCCTATAATACCGTATATCCATCTCTCCTCTTCTCAAACTATCGATCGATTCTCTCTGTAGTTTTTCTATCCCCGTTTCTCCCAATCATCTTGATATTTTAATTATGTAAATATGACTGTTGTCTTCCCTGAAGAAACTTGTATTTTCTTGTCGAGGTGCACATTTTTTTACTCTCTCCCTAAATCACACACAAAGCTACAGTATGTGTTTTTTCTCACATCCCTTTCCCCCCATCCCTTTTTTGATATATTTCCACCGAAAGTCTCTGAGTGCGCCACTCGCATTTTTGTGTGAAATTTCATAAAAATGGTGGCGCCAGAGAGACGAACTGTTTAAGTACAAGCTGAAAATAACAAAAAAATATCGAATGAATGCAATTCGTTCTAGAGAAATAAATGATGAAAACTATTCACGATTCGATTTTTCACCTATTTCTAGAAAATTTCAGAAATAAAGATTCATCGGATACGGAAAGAGAAGAATCAGCGTTTTGGAAGAACTACACATTTTTCACATTCACATGAAATTTATCAAGCTTAAGAACCACTAATTTCTCTGCACAACTAATTTATCTGCTCAAACCAGTTTCAGGACAAACAGCAATCGGCCACCGCAGAACATATTCTGAAAAAAATAGTAAAACTGTGATGCTCAGGAAAGTCGTTTTATGTCTAACTGTCTAGCTTCTCACCTAGTTTCTCTTCAGAACTTATAGTTATTAAAACGTTTTTTTGAAATCCAATGGCAATTTCCCAATTTATTTCGAATCTGAAGCGATTCGGTTAGATGCTATTTTTTCTGACACAAACAAATCGGAGCTGTGGAAGAGAAACTCCGGTGGCCGTGGCCGAAGGTCCCACAACGACAACTACCATAACCTAAAAATATGTTTATGTACTACATTCATTTTCTCGATTTTCGTGCGTTTCCAGTAAACTTTTCCTCTATCAAAAAGTATTTTCCCACTATTCAGGAAAAAATAACAGAAAACTCGCCGAAAATCAATGAAAAAACGATGAAATAGGGAAAATAAAATATATTTAGGCTACTGTAGTTGTTGCTGTGGGAGCTTAGGCCACGGGCACCGTCGTTTCTCTTCCACAGCTCCGATTTAAAAAAGGAAACGAATTCTCTGAATAAAACTTGAATTTTTATAGAATCCTGATTTAATGGATCACATCGATGTACACGAGTACAGTACAAGAAAGGAAATTCTTTCAAAAGTACAATACGATAAAACCTTAAAATCAGGAAACTCGGGCCTTTTTTTGTAAATGTAAATCAGGTAGAAAAATGGATCCCAAAGAGTTCACTATTACCGTAAAACCAGTAATAGAAGGACTCCCTAACTTTAACTTTGAGACAATTTATCTCGATTCTTGTTAAAATATGAGAAAGTCTTCAACTGATAAATGGTTTATCGTAACAACGCAAATATTTTATCAGTTAACACACTTTTTATATCTGGCATAGTATCCAAGGAATGTTAACTCAAACTTGACAATATGGGGGCCTTTCTATTACAGGTTTTACGGAAGTAGTTCTTAATTGCAAAGATTTTATGATAGTTGTTCATGATAAGAACAAAAATCCGGAGTTCCACGAATATCCAGTTTACCTTGTTTAAACAACTCCTTTTCGTCTTCTCTTCTCGTTCTTCTTTTCCGTACTTCGTCTCTTCTCCCAAAATTCATCTATCATTTTTGCTTTTCATGTCTATTCCTCTCTATCCTCGCATATTGACGAATAGAATTCACCCTCCATTTGCAAATTTTATTGAATTTCGGCCGTTTTCATGTCATAAGACATTTGAATGTCTCCAAATTAGAAAATTATCATCCAATATTCTCCAATTTCGAAATCGTCTGATGACGTGCTGTTGCCGTCATCGCTATGGCTCATGCACATTTCCTCATTTTGAATGTTTATTCAGCTGTTTCTTCTTTTTTTTTTTAAACTTTATTCCACTAGATTTTTTCTTCTTACTTTTTCATTATTGACTATTCAATTACCATAAAACCTTTAATAAAAGGGCTCTCACATTCTCAAGTTTGGGCTGATTTTTCTTGGCTCTTAAGCAAGATATAAAAATTTTGTCAACTGACAGAACATTACTGATATTATGATTAATAATTTATCAGTTGACAACTTTTTGATGTCTTTCACCGGAACTGAGAAAAATTGGCTCAAATTAGAAAGGTTTTACTGTATCTGGATTTTCCAATTTTAATTTGGTTTTTTGAAACTTGAAAAATCTTAAAATTAGTTTTTCGAATAGCTTTTTTTCAGTGTCCTAGAAAATGCCAGATCAAACAAACGAAAAAAGTCTTGAAATGCAGTTGGATGACAGAATCGAGCTAACACGAGAAGAGCAAGACATCGAGACATCGAGCAGTTCTTATCCGCACTGTGAAGGACTCGATCACATCGTATCGTTGGAATCCACGTATGATTTTCATCGTCAGATGGGATTTGAAGATCTGAAACGTTATCGAGATGACTACGACAAAGCCAGTGAACAGATTCTGAAACTAAGAAAGCAGTTGACCGATACGAATTTGGATCCGAGAAAGAGAAAATGGATCGAGGATGATTTGGATTCGGCAGTCAGAAAGCAGGATAGTGCTCTATCGAGAATAAAATTGGCTGAATCCCACATGAAGAGAGATATGAGAAACGATGCGCCGCCAGCATATCAGCCAGATGATCCATTGAAAGATCTTCGAAGGAATTATGAATGTTCGGAGAAGGGAAAAGCACCAGTGTATCAGGAGAAAGGTCCGAAAATTTGAATAATTGTCTGTAGTTACTGTCTGTGATAATTGCTATACTTGTGCATATAAATATTTGGCTGTCAATAAATAAATTGTATCTACTGGAAAACCTTTGTTATAAGAATTGATCCAAGATAACTCCGGAGGACCCTTCTTTTACAAGAGCCTTTCAATTAGAGCTGTCCTTCTATTTTTCCAGTTCTTTTTTTCAGAAATTTTTAAAGAAGATTCATTGAAATCTTGCTCAAAATTAATGGAAATCCATTCATTTCACCAAAATTAACCAAGTTTTTCAACAAAAATAACGTTTTAACAAAATTATGATATTTGCAAAAAATTTTCCCTGAAAACGTACGGAATTTTTTTGAAAATTTTATACATCAAATTTTGAAGAGCGCTCTTCTATTACAGGGGGCCGCCCTTTCATTTTTCCAAGAACCTCTCAGAAAACCCTCCTTTTGAAGGGGACCTTCTAATACAGATTTTATGGTATCTGTGTTTCCTGTAACCCAGCTAACAATCAAACATTAATTAATTTACTAATTTTTATTAATTTGAGCAAAAGAACTAAAAAACTCTGATTTTGAGAAAATGTACACGTAAGAACCAAGTAGGTGAATGAATGGATAAAATAATGAATAAGTTAACTATAAGAGAAAGAATTTGTCTGGAAAACGAGTTTTAGGATCTGAATCGGGAGAAAATTATAAAATTTTTGTTTGAGAATTTTTTCAATGCACTGGAATCTTCTCTGTTTTGATTTTTTCGTCATCCGGAGTTGTGCTGAATCCAGAATCGGGAGCCTGAAATGACAAAACTTTGAATGTATTGAAAAAATAAGTTCTTCTTCTTACATCTTCCAGAGTTAACAAATGTGTGTCATTTAAAAAATGAGTGCTATCTATAATACTTTCATGCTTCAAAGTGTTCGTTGATCCGCGTGGAGCTTCAATGTCTTCGTCACGGAAGTTCTTCGTCTCATCTTGATCGTCATCATCTTCTGGGAAAAAATTTGATGATGTCTGATGGGTGATTCCAGCATTTGAAGTACTGGGTCCCGCAGGAGATGACATTTCGAGATTTGGAAGAGCGGATGAGACAGTAGCTGTGAGTGGAGCCAGGTAGCTGACATCAGAAGCCTGAACGAGAGATTCTCCAGCACCTCCACCAGTGGTATCCATACCAGAAGTCGTTGGAGTGTTTGAGGATGAAATTGGATGCATTGGTGCTCCGATAAATGAGTATCTTTGAGATGAGCCACCTGCATTATTCGGTGCGAATTGATACATTTGTGGGAATTGAGGAGTCATTGGAAATCCAAATTGTGCAGAGAACGAATTATTGGGTTGCGTCTTGATTTGTTGTTCAGCCTCTTGCCACTTTCTTTTAAAGTATTCAGTCTTTTTCTTTTCTTTTTCTAATTTGGCATTTGATTGGAGCAACATCTTTACCAAATCATCCTTTTCTTTCTCCAATTCCTTAATCTGTCGATGATCATTTCTCTGCGTTCTCTCATAATTGAACAGTCTCTCCTCATAATGAGCTCGGATTTTTCTCTTCAATTCTTGATATCTCATTGATTTCTTATACACCTCTTCTTCTGTCTCGTCGTCCTCTTCATAGTCTTCTTCCTCCAGATGACGTCTATGGTGATGGTGTTGTTGGTGACGATGGTAACCAATTGGAGATGTGTTCTCACTTCCATACTCTGACGTCTCCCACCTCTGTGATGGATAGTTTCGATGAGAAGATGACGCCACCATAGAAGAAGAAGATGGAAGCATCTGTTGACTGTTGTTGTTGCGACGACGTTGTTCTCTGGATTCCCGTCGGAACGAATCCACATTGAATGATCTACTGCTTGCTGGCTCATCATCCACGTATCTGAAATAAGGAATTTTTGCTTGAAGAGGGACTCCGACCATTTTTCTGTCATTAAAGTTTGTGAAAAGTTATGTATTGTCATATTATTGTGTAAAAAATCAAAAAAGTCTGAAGACTCTAAAAACGTCGATGAAAGCATAAAATTTGCGTTGGAAAGGTGACGAATAAGGCCGAAGATTTGAATTCCCGCGCAGTGAGAAACCTAGACCATAGCGCATGGACAGTGGGCTTTGTAACTTGTTTTAATGCCAAAGAAAAGGGACTAGGTTTCTCACTGCGCGAAAACTCAAATCCTAACGTTTTGGTCTGAATGTCCACGCCAGACCAAATTGAATATATTCAAAGTGTGATATGACCTGTGTATTTTTGATCAAGACGCGCTTTTTCGCTCATCGTTGTACGTTTGATACTCGGCCAACGAAAAAAAGATGCCCCAATCTCACGTTCGCTGGGGCGCGATTTCTGAATAGGCCTTTTGGAACCCTGTGAGTCTCCCTTTAAGAAATGAGGGTGGTTCTAGCGAGCTCGACACCCTGATTTATTAACCCCAACACTTTCCTGTTTCTATAAATCTTTTCAATTGGTTTTACACCCTGCTCTTTCTCCCTCCGTCAACAATAAATCCAAGTTTATCGACCCATTCCACATGTGTTTCTCATCACCACTAATGTGATTTTTCTTCTTCTTCTTCCCAACGAATCAATCAAAATAACACTCACTCTGGTGGACAACTCTTTGGTCCTCGTCTCACTCGTGTACTATTTTGTGTATGGTATGCGGCAGTCGCTGGAAGCATACTGTCGTCTTGGAAACGGGCTCCTTTTAGAGCTGATTTGGATGTTGACGATGGTGGACGGACTGATCGGCGAGATGTGTCGCGTTCCTGTAAACATATTTAAATTAAAAATTGTCTTCAACAGAAGTGAATTTTAAAAAAACTTACCATATTCATTTGCTCATTCCCATTTTCATCATCTCCTTTACTGTGACTCTTTTTGTGTCCGAACAGGTTTCGAAAGAGGTTCGCCATTGGGCTCTCCGTGTGGCACGTGCTGCAAATAAATCCAAAAATTAAAACAGTTGTTGTGGCGGAACAGCATAGGGATAAAAGGTGTAATACCAGTGTAGAGAGGTAGTACTAATAACAAAGAAAACGAACGAAGGACCCAACAATGAGCCACAGGGTGTGCTCATGGTGTGATTTGGGAGAAGAAGAAGAGAGGAGAGAGGTGCAGCCAAGACAAGTTGTATTTGTCTTTGGGGGTTGATGACGATGACCACTCTCGATTGTAACTGTGAACAAGATGCTCTCAAGTGGGCGGATAGTTAGGAATCAGATACAATAACAACAATAGAAAATAGTCTCTGGGAAAGTTCATCTGGGTTGGGGTTACCAACTTGGGGGTCGTAAGGTTTGGGAGGGTCATCTATTGACTGGGTATCGACCTATAGGAGAAACTGGTGTTCCACATCGATTCTAGTCGAAGATTCTCATTTCCAAAAACCTTCATAAAATGAGCTTAAAATAGGAAATTATAAAGAATGTTAGTAGAATGCTAGTAATTATAAAGAATGTTAGTACCACTTTAATAGAAGGCTATCCTAGAAGCCGATACATCTCGGTTCTTGTAACAGATATCAAAAAGTAGTCAACAGACAAAATGTTTTTTATAATATCAGCAAAATTTTATCAGTTAACCACTTTTTGATTTTGATATCTTTTACAAAAATTGAGATAACTGAGCTCAAATTACCGTACTCTCCAATAGAAGATCATTTATTTGCCCTTTGAACCAATATATCTCGGTTCTTGTAGCATATATCAAAAAGCGGTCAACTGACAAAATGTTAATTATAATATTGGAAACATTTTGTTAGTTAACCACTTTTTGATACCTCTTACAGGAGCTGAGATATTAAACTCGAAGTTCATTGGGTAGGGTTCATTAGACCAATTATGGCAATTGGGTTCTGCGGAAAAAAAATTGTTTAGAAAAGTTTGAGAATTTTCACCGCAATAAAACTTCACAAAATTTTGCTATAGAGCTAATTTTCAGAACTGTATCTAATCTGAAAAAATCACATGAAACGAAAACCACAAGATGAACACCTGCACTAATCTGGTTGCACTAATCTGACACAACATCTGGCCTATTACTCGACCACCTGTGTCATTTTAGAAAGTATGCATGACAATTGAAAAAATGACAAGAAATAACTATTCCGACAGATAAGATAGAACGGTTGAGAGATTTGAGAAGCCCGATAGGATAAGGGAATGAAGATTTACGACTGTCTTCTAGTCGAACATTTGAAAATCGACATAAAAATTTTCATTGCGCCGCCGGTTTTCAAATGACACAGTCTTTTCTCTTTTTTTCACCGCAAAAAAAAACTTCAAAAGTATGCCGCGCGCTTCGGAGACGACCCGACCCACCATAGCAGCACTCTAATTAGGTTGGGAGAGAGCGCCCCCCCGCTATTGATACCTACTTAGTAGACAAGGCAATGGGAAAGATGAAGAAGAAGAAGAGGTGCTATTTGTCGAGAAGGGGAAAGGACATCAAATGAGCCGAAACACAACACATCGGAACTTTTGAAAAAGACAGGGCGAGAGAAGGATCGTGTGCGAAAATCTCGAACAAATAATAGAAACTACAAGATTTACTTTTGACAGGAAACGGTAGTGTTGCTATGGAGGTGTCAAAATGGGGATGAGGGAGAAAAGGGTTAATGGATTACATTATTGACAGCCCGGTAGTCTGCTGACACAGGGTTTGAACTACTTTGGACTCACAAAATTTTTGAAAACTCTTACAAGTGTTAGTTTTTCAGGTACTTGCCGATTTCTGAAGGACACCACGATTTCAGTACAAAAACCGGCTAAGGTGTCTTTCAGAAATCGGAAAAAACCTGAAAAACTAGGAATTTTCAAAAAAATCTGTGAATGCAAAGTTTTTAATCTGGGTCTATTTTAGACCGTCCAAAATTTTTTAAGTGATCGGACACTTGACAGCCGAGCTCCAGACTCCGGAAAATGGTCAAAATGGCTTAAAATCAACTGAAATGCGCATTCTTTGTGTATCTTATTGACTGGTACTGTAACTAGGGTACAACCAAAAACCTCAAATATTTAAAACACAATTCTTTACATTATCAGTTAGCAAGCTGGAACCACTATTCAAATGCATGTAATCCCTAAGATGGTACAATCGTAAATCATTTCAACAAACATCTCCCAATACCTCCCTTATCGCTATATTCCTTCTCCTAATCTCCTAATCCTTTTCTCTATAAGTATTTCCGTTTGATTATTACAGATAGCGAAGAGCACAGTCTCCCAGCGTGAAAATGTTTGGTTAGAAAACTAGAGAAAAAATGTCTCTGCGTCTCTTCGTCTCTCACGCTATTTTATCTCAGTGCAATTTTTCCCAGATTTAATTGGAAAACTGGATGAACAGCTAAGGACGTCTCAAAGACGTTCAAAAATTTTCAAAACTTTTTTCACGGATGATAGAAATCATATCCGAGATTGTCTGTAATAAGTTTGAGCACTTATCTGAAACTATCAAGCAAGATATGAAGCTTTGAAAACTTTTTTTTTAGACTTTTGGAGTTTTGGGCAACTCTTCTTGTTCTATAAGCAAATTAAGTTACCTTCATATTAGAAAACTTGGGAAATTTGATATTTGATTGCTTTTTTCAAAAAAGACCCCCTTTAACCAACTGGAAATCGCCTCCAAAGTCCGAAATCTCTCAATGGACGACTGTTTGACCCCCTAACATCCGAACAGAGACGAAACTCAAAATTCGACGTCGGAGGAATTGTAGAACAATCCATTACAAAACTTTTGGTCTACTGATCATTATGATCGGTTTGATACTCGCAGAGTTTTGCAGAGTACGAATTTCAGTACAAACTTCTCAAAAACCACCGATTTTTGACACTTTTTCAAGATTTTCAAGAAAATGAGGACCTAAATCAAAAATCGAAGACGGAGCAATTGTAGCAAATGTCTCTGCGGTATTGATGACTTTTTATTTTCTGATTCCGCAAAAACCTGATGGACTTATGTACGGTTGAATAAAACCGGTTTTTCATAACTTTGCTCAAAATGCTCCAATTTTCATAAAATTTTGTACAGATGATAGCTGAAGTCTTCAGTAATACAGCAAATAGTTTTTTTTTTCTATTAAAATAGGTCAAATTGGTTCTTTTCAGTGGTTTCCATTACTCTAGTGATAAGATTCTATTAGCCCAAAAAGGAGAAAAAAGGGGAGGGGCGTGAAAAGTTAAATTTGGCTAGAGTGCAGACAACGAGAGAACTTTTCCAAAAACTTTCACGCTGGGAGACCGTGGAAGAGAAGAGAAACTTGTATAAAAATTAGGCAGTACAATAGACTTGAAGGGAGGGCTAGAGGAAAGAGAGCAATAAATTGAAAGGGGGAAGGCCAACGAGGAAGCCAAAGCAGTTTGAAGAATTAATGGCCGAATGCTTCAAACCACGGGGAAACCGGGAAGGGGTGGATGGATGGAGAACGATGAATTGTTATATGGGAAGAGGAAGACGAACAAAAAATTCATCATTCGGGAGAGGGAGGAGCTTTAAAATCTCGGGAATCTCAAATTACAGAAGAAGAATACAATTAATTGTTAATAATTATTTTCGGAAGATAAGATCAAAAAGAGCATGTACCCCTCCTCATTTGTTGTAATAAGCCCTACCGGTGAGTCGGCTATTGTAAAAAAGAGATGGATTAATAGAAGCAATTAACCATATGCGGTCCCGTTTTTGTCGGCAGCAGGTGCTCTCATCATGATATGGCGTAAGAAAGGTAGAATCATTAGTTCTGCGCTGTCTCTTTTGATATTCTAAACTTTGGCTTGCGGGAAATTAGAGATGACGAGAGATAAAAAAGATGCTATTGATGCTCTAGGCAATGATTCTTTTGAAGTACCGTAAGACCTGCAATAGAAGAGCACTTTTAACTTTCAGCTAATTTTCATCGGTTCTTGTAAAAGATATCGAAAAATTGTCAACTGAAAAATTGTTTATCATAATATCACTAACATTTTATCAGTTAACAGATTTTTGATAACTTGCATAAAAAGGATAATTGAGCTCAAATTTAACAGTGTTATGGCTCTTCTATTGGAGGTTTTATGGTATTCAGAGCAGTACTAATCAGAGATATGAGTCAAATTTAAAAACGAATCAAAGCAATAATAATTAAATGACCAAACAGCCTATTCCCAACTTAAAAAACAGAATTCCCAACTTAAAAAACAGAAAAAATTCGAAATCTCTGATAACGCCGTCGAAAATGCTCTGTTCTGGTCCAAGACGGTCGCGGAAATCCTAGGCCAAGGTCGCTGTGTGCGATGTTTTATCATGCAGTTTTTCAGATTTTTTTTGCCGTTTTCGGTATTTTTAGAATGAAATAGATTTATTCTATTGAAAACTCGATGAAGAGAAATAAAAAAGTGTCGTTGACCTCAAAATTGGCTGAAAAATATAATGAATACAACTTGGACGAGAACTGATCGCGCGTTCATTTTGGACAGCGTTTCCAGGGATTTCGATTTTTTCTGAATTTTTCCAAATTAATATCACAAAAATACATAAATTAAGTAACATTTTAATGCAAAGAATTACTTTTAACATTTTCATAAAACAGAAAAAAAAACTGAGAAGAAAAATAATTCAGGTAAACCTTGATTTTCCTTTAATTTTCAATTTTTCCTCCAAAATCATCGAAACATCGAATCGTAAAAATATATCGAAATTCTTGGAAAACGGTTGACACAAAAAGTCGAATTTTGTGACAGTTTTATCAGCAACTAACTGCTGTTTGAATGTTGCCAAATTGCCCCATAAAACTGCCAACCGAACACAGGCCTATTGCTTTTGATGCAAGCGAGCAAAGAGAAGTAAAAGAAGGGTTATATGTGCATGTGCCTTTAGTTTTCTTATCAAAAATACAATGTACATTTGAACATAGGGAGATGGAATCAACAGAAGAACTTTAGAATTTTTTCAAAGAATACATGAAAAGAACCAAGCCAACAATGGTTTCTTTGAAAAAATGACAAAAGTCAAATATTTTCAAGCATCAGAAGGTTTAGAAATTGAGATCTTGTTATCACTGGATACCAGTGATAACAAGATTTAAAGGGATCTGAAGATCAGGGTCCTTGTAATCATAAAATAAGGAATTCAAAAAGAAGGAAGAGGAAAGCGGCAGAATTCAAAGGGAATGAAAAGAAAAGGAAATAGATTCAACACACAAATTCAAACAATAAAAAAATAGGACATCCGATTCTTCTCTCTCCTCTTCTCATTTCTCATCGGAAGCTGATTTTTATGATTCTGGGAGACAGCGCATATAACATTTATTTATTACTATCGAGTATTTAGAGAAGTCAGTCTTCTGAGGACCACCCTGATGAAGAAGAAGACGAACAGATTGGGGGATGGTGTATTAAGGAGACGGAAGAAGGGACGGATTTGAAAAGCGACGTTTGGCGGCACAACCGCCCTCTTCTTCCTCTTCTACACCCAACAACCAGGCGGTCCCTTTTGAGACTGAATACGCGAAATAGTGTGCAAAGAGGAAGAGACGCAGATAAGGGGAAAAAGAGACTTTCAAACACCCCACAGACACCGTCACTCTCTTTTCTTGTCTCTCTTTTAACTGTAGCCGCACCACACACAAAGATACTGGGCAAGGATAGAAGAAGTGGATGACATCTTCTAAATCATTGTTGACTGATGTTTCTATTTAACTCAGGCGGCTTAAACTTCTTTGGTGACAAACGTTGTGAAATCTGAGTAAACTTTGGAGAAGAAGAAAAAATTTTGAACACTGATAAACATTACCTTAGAACCTGTAATAGAAGGGCCCTTAACTTTAGGCCCATTTTCTCGGTTCTTGTAACATATATCAAAAACTGGTCAACTGACAAAATGTTTATGAGTGTTACAGAAATATTTTATCAGTTGACACATTTTTGACATCTCGCATAGGAGCCAAGAAAAATTAGCTGAAACGAAAAAGTGTGGGGCTCTTCTATTACAGGTTTCACGGTATCTGGATTTTAAACTTTGATTTGGTTCTTTTGAAAGTTACAAAATTGGAAAACCAGGAGGAAGAAGTGTTGTATTTCACTACAAAATTTTTGAAAATTTTCACTACAAAGTTCTCAAATTTCGAAAATGGATTCGAAAACTACAGTAATTCTCATTTGTCAATACAAAAATTAACCTTAAAACTACAGTAATCCTTATCATTTCAATTCAAAAATCGATCCTAAAACTACAGTAGTCCTCTCTTTTTTTTTTCAAAATTCAAAAAAGGTTTCAAAAACTACAGTAATACTCGTTTATTCAATTTTCAAAAGTGAATCCCAAAACTACGGTAATTCTAATTTTTTCAATCTGAAAATCAATCCGAAAACTACAGTAATCCTTAATTTTCGAAATTTAAGAACGATTTCGAAAACTACAGTAACACTCACAATCAGAATTAAATTTTTGATATAGGGTTAGAGACTTCAAAAATTGATCACTCACCTTCGTATCCCTAAGATCCAATATCTTGACCTGGTATGTCCGGATTGGGTATGACTGTACCGGATTGGGTATGACTGTAGCTCAATTATCTCGGTTTCGAAGAAGGATTTTAAAAAGTTGTCAATTACAAAAATATTTTTGATATTATGATAAATATTTTTTTAGTTAACCACTTTTTGATATCTTTTACATTAACTGAGATATATGGGCTCAAAGTTGGCCGTTTGGGCTATCAGAGTGTTTACTGTAAATTTTGAGTCATTGACAATAAAATATTTTCAAATTAGGGACCTTGAGATCCAAAGCTTGAAAATGCATATGTACATGTATGTTTGATAAGAATGGAATACATATCCCCCGCTATGAATCGGTTACTTCAAAAGGATCTATTTCTTTTGGATATTGCCGCGCTTTCTAATTTTCAGATTACGTCGTCGTCTCTCATTTTCCCGTCTCCCGCCTTCTCTATGTCCTTTCTACACGTTCAAATTATTATTTGAATTACAAAACAAAACAAACTGTCTAATAAGAACGATAGTACTGGAATGGTTGATAAAATGGAGTAAATGAGGGAACAGAAAACTGATTCGGTTGAACATTCATCCATCTCTGATCGAATTGAGCCCATTTATCCTGTGGAAGAGACGACGGGAAGATTTCGAGAGCTGTGAAACTGCTTTGAGGTTGACTGATTTCTTGTGGAGGCACTGTCACGGGCTCTTTTTGTATTGGTTGTTGAGCAGCGAATAGGGGGCGGATCTCTTCTGGTTGAATGAGCATAAATGGAGCAAAGATTGGGGCCAGAAGATGAGCAACGAGGCGATCGATTCTCTGGAATCAAAAAAAAACAATCTGAAAATTCTTGTGACCGGTAAAAGAAATATACAGAAATGTGTTTTTCAGATGATTTTGACCCTTTTCAAGAGTCTGGAGCACGGCTATCAAGTGTTCGATCACTTTGAAAATTGGGGAGATTATAAAACAGACCTAGAGAACGTTGCATTCACATTATTCTTCGAAAATTTTTAGTTTTTCAGCTATTCGCTGATTTCTGAAAAATACCGTCTTTTTCACGTTTTCAGTACAACAACAGGAAAAAAGGAGTGTCTTTCAGTAATTGGAAAATAGCTGAAAAGCTAGAAATTTTCAAAACATTCTCTAAGTGCAACGTTTTCATTCTAGGCCTGTTTTAAACTCTTCCAAATTTTCGAAGCGATCGGAAGCTTGACAGCCGAGCTCTAGTTTTCTGAAAATCAACTGGAAAACGCGTTTTTGTATATCTTGTTCACCGGTGCTGTACGTACCGATTTCAACGAAGAATAATTTAATTTGAGCCCAGTTCTGAAGCGGTACTTGATTTTTTCAATCTGCAAAAGAAACATTATTCTTCTTTTGTATTTCTGCCGATCAGTCGGAGATCTTAATCTTTCTCTTACTTTTTGGATTTGATCTTCATTTCCTGACAACTCGACCGCCGTTTGAACTGGTGAGAACTTCATCACATAGAGGATTAGACGACGTCGCAACTAGAATGTCTCCTTTCAATTTTTGAAAGCAATTTGAAAAACCTACATCTCCATAAAACTTTCTTCCATTTCTCACATAATCGATCACAATTTCCTGTGATTCTGCATCCAATTCATCCAATTTCTCATCCAAACTTTGTTCATTAACCACATCTCCAAATGGATCTGGAGGGGGTATCATTGTGGTTGGAGAGATTGTTGCTCCAGGAGCAATTTCATTGAATTCCACAACTTCGTCTTCGATTCCATTTTGAGATTGAGTGAGAATAGGGAGAGTAAATAATAAATACAATGATAATAAGGGGTTTTTCATGTTGACTCTGGAAAGTACAGTAAAATCAAAAAAATATTTAAGAACGGGTCAAAAACGGACCAAAACCAGACCCTGCAATAGTTTCTTTTGAACACAACATTTCTAGATCAAATATGATAGAATCCAACAAACAATACAAAATGATACTTTTCTCAAAGCCGTATCTTGTCTATGAACAAAGTTACAAGCTAAAAACCGTGAGAGATACGCTGTCACTGCTTTTTGGCTTATAGCATTCTTCATAGACAAGATACAGTTCTCCAAATGATACCATTTTGTAACACCCGTCAAGTTTTATCATACATGATTTAGTTGGTCAGGAAAGAAACTGTGGCAGGGCCCGTTTTTCAAGTATTTTCATAAAATTTCAATGTAGGGAAGCAAAAATCTAGTCTGCTGTTAATAAAAAAGAGAAAATGAGGTTAGACCCCAGGAAGTTCCATGACCAACTAGTTCCTAATTGCAGCGTGACTTGTGGACATAATTTTCAGATAAAATTAGGAATCAGTTGTTTCAAGTTGCCGACAAATTAGTGGACCAATTCTGGGATCAATTCTGATGTCATGTTCAGAATAAGAATACTCTATTTGCTCTAAGTTGACCCAAACCGTTTTGAGCCTATATTTCTCGGTTCCTGTGACAGATACAAAAAAGTAGTCAACTGACAAATTATTTATCATAATATCAAAAACAATTTTTCAGTTGAACACTTTTTGATATCTTTCACAGGAACCGAGATAAATTAACTCAAAGTACAATTATAAGGTGGCCTTCTATTAGAGTGTTTACAGTATCTTCGTTTGTTTTCAAATCTTTAAAGTAGAAATACGAAGTACTGTATTATTCTATTACAAAAATTAGAGCTGTGGAAGAGAAAAGTCAGTGTCCGTGGCCACAAATTCCGAAAACCTTCACTGCGGTTTCTCTTCCACAACTCCATTGTTTTCGTACCAAAATAATACTGTAACCTGAATATTTCTCGAAATACCGAAAATTGAACTAATATGAAAATTTGTATGTTTCCGGATGTAAAAATAATTCAAATATCTCAAAAAATGACGAATGACTATTCTAGAAGAAGACCTATTCGAATGGCATGAAAATTGTAAATAAGAGAAAATGATGGGGTGTCCGTCTCGGATTATTTTCTTCCTTCCATCATGTTCTTACTCTCAAGGCTACTTCGTCTTATTCTTCCTCATCGGGTAAGCGGTTTACTTTTCTCGAATTCTGAAGACATTCTACTGTACTGTACCCCTTCTTTTTGCATTCTTATGTCCATTTGGTTTATAATTGCTCTTCTTCTTCCTCTTTTTTCCATTATTTTGAAAACCATAAAAAGCGAAACCATCGAAGAGGAAGAGAATGTCAAATGTTTGAAACCCCCACTTGACCTGAACTTCTACAAAAAATGGAAACGGTGTCACATGTTGATCTGTATGTTATGAATTCCGGAAAAATTGAAAAAAGGAATTACGGTTCCTCGGTTGAGTGAATTTTTCTAGAGTTTTGAAACGTATCATGGTCAGAAAAATATTTTGATATTTAGATGACGTCAAATTTCTTCCGGTTGCGCAAGGATTGGAAGGGAATGATCAAAAGATGCCGACAATAATACGCAATTTACAATTAGTACTACATTTATGTCTTCTCACATAGGAGAAAAAAAATTAGAAATGGTATGTCAAGATGCAACAGGGATGAAAAAAAAGTGAAGAACGATATGTACAGTATGAAAAAGAAAAGAGGTTAGAACATGATGATGATAAAAGAAAGCATGGACAGGCAGAAGTACAGTTTTGAGCATATAAAATTAGTTACAAAGTGTGCAAATTGGATAACAGAAACAGATGATTATGGCTGGAGAACGAGCAGGGTGTTGTTCGGATCATCAGCTTGTGCTCGACGGGCTTCAAAGTTTTTCCGACGGAGACATTTTGGACATTCACCGGAGGTCCTCCAGCATTCAACGTGGAATACTGAGAAACAGACTTCACACTGAAATAGCAACAGATTAGATATTTAGAGTATTTCGATAATATTCTGCTACAAAAAGCCGGATCTGTGTGGGTGGCCAAAGGTCTTATAAGGACCACTACCGTAACCTAAAAACAATTTTATTTTCCGCTTTTCGTCGAGTTTTCTGTTATGTTTTTCCCCAAACAAGTCGGAATATAAAGAATTTTAATAGTGAAAAAATTGCCGGAAAAATTACGAAAATCGAGAAAATAAATATAATTTTAGGTTACGGTAGTTTTCCTTATGGGACCTTCGGGCAAGGTAACCAGAATAATAACTCACTCTATGTGTAGATTCTGTGTTGAATGGATAGATGACCTCATTGACAGTGCACAGTTCGCAGCAGAATCCTTTCTGTTTGCATAATGTGCATGACATTACATGCGTTGTGGAATGTTTCAGAATATGTTTCAGTCTTCTGAGGAGGGAACCACTTTTCACATCTATTAAATCAGCAAACGAGTAAAGGTGGATATCAGACCGAAGATATTCTTTTGGCCACAACCGCCGTCGGAAGTCTTCGGCGACCGATTCTCGACACGTGAACAAATACATGGATACTAAATGCAACTTTTCGCGGAGTTGTCGTGTCTCTTCAAGAGCTGGTACATGTTTGTAAAGCCGAGGGTTTGTAGTTTTGATATTGATAAGAGCCTTCTCTTGATTCGCTTCGTACCACGCACGACCTCTATCAGAAACTGATCGTTCTCTCCAATCCCAATCCATTACAACTCGTGCGGGAATCGGGATTTTACCACCGGGTTTCATGCATTCTGGACAGTAATATTTACTGTCAATAGCACATGTCCTGAAAATTGAAATTTATTATCTTGAACGCAGAAAAAATGATACTCACTCGAACTTTGCAAAAAACGATCCACCTATCGTCTTCCGACACATTGCACATCTGAAATCTTGTGCGTCTAATCCTTGTTCTCTTGGTATCCGGCAAAGTTTGTCTGCGATTTCAGAAGATACTGATGATTTTCTGGAGTCTGATTCCTCAACGGCTTCATCACTTTCAGTTAAATCTTGATTTGATGTACCAAAAGATTCTGCCATCATATTTGGCTCGTCGTATCCTTCTCTAGCTTCCATTGCCGATCGCAGAGCGTGACCAAAACTGACAACTGGACCACAGGATTCAGAAGACGATGATAAATGATCAGAGTTTGATTCCCACATCTGATGCCTTGCTCCAATAGCTGCCAGGGAGTTTCCCATCAATCCGGGACTTTGCACATATTTCGGAATTCCGTTTTCGAATGTGTCATTGTCAGTAGACGGCAAAGCCTCCAGAAGTTCATCACGGAGAGAAGTTCCAAGAATTGAATCCGCCTGAAAATCAATGTTTTTAATGATTTGTTAACATCTATTTGGTCTTTCATAGAACAATCGAAAAGCACTCACTCCGCGGGGAATAAAAAACCTCATTGATAGAAAAACTGCTGACTAGTTCGGGAAACTAAAATTACGAGCAACTGGTGACCGCAGTGGTCAGAATGAAAAATGAGCAGTTCTTGATTTAGTGAATAGTGGGCTAGAGGAGAATCACGAAATCTGACGCAATCTAATCTACACTGCAGACAGTCAAGGGTGCGAACGCAGATTACGATCTTTATGGCGGAGTATATTTGTCAAGAACAATTTGAATGATTTGAATAGACATTATGTAAATTACCTACCACATCACAGAATAATTGTTTAGCGCTCCTTTTCTCTTCCTTACGCATGATAGCAACTACTTTCAGTGTTGACTTAACAAACGATTGGAAAAACGAGTCTTTGACCATGTTAATATCGCATACAATATCCGCTAAACTGCTTCGTCTACGACCTCCGACACTTTGTCTCGCGGAAGAAAGTCGCTTGGAGAATGAACGAAGTCTCGCGAATGCTTCTTCTTCCTCTTCTTTTGTCATTATGTCAAAGGTACTCGTAGCAACAACTTGAGCATCCATATTGTTATTGGTATCAAAATCAGCCGAATAACAGGATGCAAGAGGAGTTAGAGTACGGATTCTCATAGCTTGAAGCTTTTAGATTAAAAAAAAATGAAACGAGAATGCGTTAGTGATCTCAGGTGAGAAAGCACTATGCTATACTATCATCTTATCATTTTTCTGCCATTGCACCACCCGCCGTCTTATCGAACGCCTTTTCGGGGCTCATTGTCATGTGAATGCGTCTAAATGTGACGAAAAGAGAAAAGAGGATAGAAAGTTCAAAAGTGTGATTTTTGTGTTGTCTGATTTTGGAAGTTGCCTTCAGATGGAAAATAAGGAAGTGAAGGCATTATAATATGAACCTTCCACTTGTCCTTCTGAAGTGAACGATGAAAACATTATGGCAGATCTATAACATAAGGGCTCGGCTATTGGATTTAATTTCCATTCAGAACTTCCAGTTGGATATTGGCCGGGTTCTGGTTGGAAGTTGCCCAAGAACGGTTGTATAGCTTGGTCAGATCATGGTTGGAACCTTACCATACGTTTGTCGGAGATTGGACGGCTTTAGTAGCGGTCTTATCCGGAATCTTACCAATCCCCGAGTAGAAGTTGCCGGTGATGTCCAGGGAGTACCCCTTTCATCTTTTTCCTAGACTTCTCTTTATTACGAGATTGCTTTCTGCTCATTTAATTTTTCTTCCCCATTCCCTTATCATTAATTATCTGGAGAAGGTCACACGACCTAGAAACAAGGCTTTGATAACAGAGCAACATGTCATAACGACAGGAGCAAAAAAGACAAAAATTTTCCGGGAAAACGAGGTGTCTGAACAAACCTTTTGTTGTCTCCTGTGTATTAATTGTCGTCGACTTCCAGTTTGTATCGTGACAGGTTTGCTTCGAGTGACGAGAGGCTCAGATGGTAGCCTCGTGGAGGTTCCTTCTTCTGGATCCATAGAGACTGAATTGGAGAGTTGTTACCGAGAAGGGTATTTTTGGAATGCAACTTACCATCGAAAACTTCTTCATCGTCTTCCGTTTTATTGTTTTCTTTCAACTTTTGATCCAAAAAGTTATCAGTGAGCGATACACTCCGGGGTGCTAGAACACTTTCTTCGACGGTTGTCTCTAATTCGTGCAAAGCCTCGATAAACGACAAAGATCTTTCTTCAAGTCCAGTTTCTTCCCCAAGAAGATCTGGTTCAACTTCTGATGTTGCCCTTGTATTGCATGTAGATGCAGCAGCCATCTCGGCAATCCCGCTATCAATAGTGGCAGAAATTGGTTTCGATCGAATCTTAAGTTCTTCAGCTTCTGGGGAAAATGCTACATCATTGGGCACAGTTCCAAAAATTGTTGATGGCTGAAAGCAAATCATAATCAATAGTTATTCTTCCAATCAACTCACCAGATCACTATTTGCTCTGGAATCTCGCGTGGGAATGGCTTTTGTTCTATGATAACTATCTTTAGATGTTGATCCACTCGAGCTTCTCGAATCGGATTTTCGATTTGACGGTCTCCTAACTCTTCTAGAAACGATTATTGGTTGATAATCGGCCGGTGCATCTGGAGCCACTGCTCCAACGACTTGCTCAAAATCAGAATTCGTTCTCTTGCGAGTTTTCACTTGGTCTAGAATTGTGGTATCCACGGGTGTCGAAGAGAACAGAGGAGATTGGGGAAGCAGAAGCCGTTGATTGGACGGCGCCCGACGAAGATTTCCAGAAGACGCCGGATCTCGTTTCAGACTACCAACAACTGCGTGTTGATAGGTCATCTCCCCAGAATCCAACATTGAAGGATGTGAGTAAACGGATGAAGTATCCGAGTGATTGTCGTTTACGGATTCTAGAAATTAGCGAAATCTGATAGAAACTTTAAAAAACTGAATAACTGACTTCTAATTGGCCTTGCTAGAGACTTCCTTTTTTGTCTTTCAATATAAGAAGGCGATCCAATTTCTTGATCTTCTTCAGAAACAAGTGCATCAATAGCTACAAATGCAATGTCTTCCGTCAAGTGAGCTGGTTTTGGATTTGGACGGGCTTTCAAAACACCGACTTTCAAAGGTTCACCAGCCATTAATCCGGCTAAAATTAGTGGAGTTGGTGTCCATGTATTGAGAAATGAAGAATTCGTTGCAGCAGATATAGGAAGTGAGGTTAGAGGTTTTAAAAAGCCTCGGATTCGTTCCGAATGGTCAGAGTGGAATAGAAGCCTTAGGAACGCGTCTTCAGAATAGAATTGCCTGTAAAATTAGTAGAATTAAGAGAAAAATTTAAAAATTCTTCCACTTACTGAATAGCAGTAGTTTCTGTGGATAACAAGTCCAGATATTGACTCAGTGCATTCTCGTTCAGAACTATTCGAATCCAAGCCCTACCTTTGCCGATTTCGGTACGAACTTGTCCTAAACACGCGATTTGATTGGTGATCGATCGATGGGAGAATTTGGAAACGAATGGCCAAAAATTCTGGAAAATATGGTTTCACATATTGTTTCTGTGAATATAACTTACAGGTTCAGGATACTTTGCATATCGTGTCCCTTTTAAGAAGAAAGGATCGCGCAATCCATGAATAAATATAGCCTCGATGGAGTTACAGAGATTTTGAGTAATTTCACTGAAATGTTTTTTTTGAACAATAGGTATTTTCGATTTCAAACTACTCACCTAGGGACATTCTCTCGTTTCGAATGTGGCGAAGCAATAGCTGCCTTGACAACATTATCAAGCTCTTTTTGTAAATCTGCACGGATTTTTTCTTGCTTCTGTTTCTGTGCCGGCGTTGGAGCTGGAGCTGGCGTCATAGGAGCAGAATGTTTCTGGAAACGACAATTTTTAGAGTAAGTATGATAACCATATTTATAAGAACAGTATAATCTTCGATATTTCTACTATCTGCTGGTTTTTGAGGTCTAAATAAAATGTTCGGATGGCAGAAAACAAAATTTCTAGACCTGCTGAACGTTCAAGAATTTTTACAAGAATCTTTGAAACAAAAAAAGAAATGGTGGCTGCAATTGTTACTGAATTTTCGTTGAAATCAACACTTGCAGAAGAAGACCGTGAACCGAGAACAAAGAAGAATAGCATTGGTTATCAGCTCCCCACAGGTTCAATGATAATTTTTCGCACTTTCGATATTCAGGTGACTTACATTCAACCGTTTGAACATGGTCGTTGTAGTAGTGGTAGAAAAGAATCAAGAACTGACGGAAATCGGGTTGCATTCACACAAAGCGAAGATGTGATGAAATACTTCTGCAAAGAAATAACCTTGTCTGAGGGCGGGAATCGGGTATAGCGACGAGAAAGTGTGAGTCATGGGAAAAAGAACAATTGCTTGCAATAGAAAAATAAACTTTATGAATTTGGTAATCGAATATTATACTGAAATTTCGGGTTGCGTCGTCTGCTGCGGCAGTGGAGGCAGCAGTCACAAGGAAAGACCGGTTTCACATGATGCCGGTGTTGTTTTCTTATTTACAGACAACTTTCCAGCACAACATGCAGTTGCACAAAGTCTAGTCAACAACATTGGATACATCTCGGAATTCGATCAATTTAAATTATTTCTTGCAGTCAGCAAACTTATTTTCTGATTCTATTCTTTCAATGAGTATGCAACCATTATACTGATTTTCATGCTTGATATTCATTTATCAAACCTTAATAAATTTATTTGTACGGATCCCCTGAAATCACCGCAGTTCACTATCCAGCCATTCTTTGTACCTCTTGATTCCATTTGAAGTCAAAAGATTCTGCTCCTCCGTCAACTGGCTGTGAGGAGAAAGAGTGTGTGAAACAGCGAGACACAGTGCATGGTCTCGCACCGATCACAAATACGGTGTCAGTCGTTTCAAATGTGCGATTTTCAACGAAGAGTCTGTTTATCGATTCTTCAATTCAAAAGCTGAAAAACTGTATTTTGCAACTAGAAGTCGTTCTAGCCTGTTTTAAATTTTCTGAAAATTTTTCTGTTTGAATAGGGACTTCAAACTTTCGAAAAGCGGAGACATAATAACGTTCGTTTACTTATTCTACAATTTTTCAGGCATGCTTGCCCCACGCTTGATCAAGGCAATTAATGCCAGCAGATCCTTTCATTTAGCAAGAGTGATGTCTAGTGAGTTGTTTTTTTTGTTAAAATTTACATTTTTTCGTGCAGAAAAATTTTATGTCAAGGGATGTATCCTTTCTGGAGACTTTTCCACATTTTTCTTGCCGAGAATTCAATCCATTTCTTTTTAAGTGCGAGGACCTCTGACTTTCGATGGCTGGTACCCCCGTGATCACAAACCGAATGCTCCACCAACCAATGAAGAAGAGCGTCGTGCAGCAGCCGTAAAATATGGTCTTCGACCAGAAGATTATCATTCTATGGACAAAGATGACGTGATCAAGTTTGCCGGAGACTATCCAGATCTTGGAGTAGTTACATACGACCACAAAGATCCGTATGAAGCTTGGACTGATCGTCAAAATCGCAGAAATTGGGGAGAGCTCGTACCAATTGATATGATGCGCTATCGCGGAGATCGTCTCACTTTCACAGGACTTGAAGCTGAAGATTACACTACGTAAGCTCTTTTTTTTAATATTGAAAAAGGTTTTATGGGTTGAAAAACGAATAGAAAGTTATCTTAAAATATGACCTGTTTTCTTGATGTGTCAAGAAATAAATTTCAAAGTTTCCTTTTTAGGTGGGGATCCATCGTGATGTGTCTTCGTGTGTTGGTACCGATGGCCCTGATTGCTTGGTACTTCTGTAACGACCACCCGAACGCTCTCCGTTGGCGTAATCCAGCTATGCCAAAGCAGTACCCGTACGACTTTTATCGTGCATATCCATTCGACGATCCACGAAAGTATCCAATTGTTAACTATTCTTTCGATCTTGAATAGATCCCATTTTTCGTCGGAGGAAGAAAGTATGTTCTAAGGGTCGTATCGAAAAAGAAAAGCGAGTGTTTGTTTTTGGCAGATCCTTTAGGTTTTTAGAATCGCTCGATTTTCGGTTTTTTTATGTCTTTTCTTTTTGTACAATAAAATATTCCCTTCATTATCTCAGTTTTTGGAGTTTTCAAATATCACAAATGCGGATGTTACCGTTTATATCTCAATTGTTTTTTTTTCAACTGAAATCGCAATTGTCAAATTCAGAACAATACAAGTGAAACTGCAAATCGGGACGACTCCCAGGGAATGCTTTTTCTTGATGATTTCTTAGAGAGTAAGTATACTTTGGCTGTTTCAATTTTTCCCACATTTATTATATTTCCAGTGCTCGATGAGCTTCCAGCCGAACTGAAAGATAGAAGCGAGGAAATTCGACGGATTGATTATGAAGTTGAATGTAGGTTGACAGTCTTTTCATATCAATCCCCAACATGAACGAATTTTAGCAAGGCTGAACCGTAATAGAGAAGCTATCAATGAGTTTTTTCAACGATCTGGCGTTAATATGTCGGCTGAGCAAAGAAGAGAGAAATCTAAAGGTTTCCAAGACGTAAGAAAAGTTGAATCTGGTTGTTAAATTACTGTAATCAGTTTTCAGGAGTTCGAAACTATAAAAATATTAGCTCAGAAGAAGTTCTTTATCGCTGAGAAGATGCAGGAGCTATTGAAAAAATATCAAACCCATTTGGACAAAGAAAAAACCAACTTCCAGTGTGAAATGGAAGCAGATAATTCTGGAGTTACGGAAATGATCGAAAAGCGGTATACACAGCACATTGAAGCAGTCATCACAGCTAGAAAAGAAAGAAAAAGAAGGCATCGCGTTGTATCTTCTCGTGCCTCAACAGTTGCTTCGGGACCATTAATATCAAGAGATTCAAACGATAAAATTCAAAGAATATTACAAGAAGGGATGCGGCTGAGATTAGATTTTTCTGATGACTCAGCACACTCTGCTATGTCATCTGCAATTCCATCTCCAGCTCCACGTGGAAGGCCTCCAAAGATTAACAGAGATCAGATGTTCTTGTCGTCTTCAATGATTGCAAGTGATGATTGCATGACACCAATTGCTACTCCAACAGCAAGAGTGAGTTCAGATTTTTTCACAGTTCCACCGTTTCCTCGCGCAATCATTATGTTCGACAATCATAAGTTCTAAAGGTGGCTCCTGCCGTTTTTGTTGCATTAAAATGTGTTCAATCACAGAAACGTAGAAAAAAAAGAAATAACCTCGAAAAAACGCTTCGAAATTATATAAGTCCCAGTTCTCGAGGTTCTAGAGTCTTTTTTGAATTACCGCCAAAATCGAAAACGCCGTTTTTCATTCGCAAGACTTTTCTAGAGATGGCCTATAATTTTCAGTTTTGACTGGAACTCAAAATAATTGAGACCTGATGTTTTTCGCCATTTGAAGCGATTGTCCAGGTTTTTCTTTTTTTTCTCTCTTTTTACAGATTTCTCTTCAAATTTCAATGTTGTACTAATTTGAAAACACCAAACCGGCGGAATAAAGGCCCTGTTGGCCGTGATTGAAGTTTTAGAAAAACTACCGTAATCTGAACTAAGAAAAACTACCGTAATCTGAAAATATTTTTATTTCCGGATTTTTTCCTGAATTTCATTAATTTTCCGCAATTCACTGCCAGTATAATATAAAACAGAGCAAAGTGTACTACACTATTTTTTTCCCTTGTCTTATTTTTTAATCGATTCGGTCTTGACTCCGCCGGCTGTCTTCATCTTACCAGACGCTCCTCTCTTTAGAAGCATTTCGGAAAGAGTGTGACGAAAGAGCGAGTGAAGACAATAGGTGCCTGAAATTTCAATAGGACGCGAACGTATCTCTTTTTCTCTGGCGCCTGTGTTCTTTAGTTCCCTCCCTTGACACCACTCTCCACTTCTGTTTTTCCTCACCAGAAACATACGGATTGCTTTCCTATAAGATGTCTCAGTCATCGGCTTCTTCGCTCCGAAAGCGGAACGCAGATAGCGATGAAGTGTTTAGCCCATCTTCATCTGCGAAAACGGTAATTTTCACAGTAAAAAAGTGACATTTATGCCAGCGTTGGCTTTGAGCAATCTCCTGTGCTAGATTCTAAAGAAAAATAGGTTTTAATTATACTGACAAGTTATCAGAAATTAATCGGAGACACAACAATAATTAATGTATTTTCAGCGCCGGTCTAATACAAATGCTCTTCGTGGAACAGTCTCTATACCAAGCGCGATCGTCTCCATGAGCCGCGGAGAGTCAAGTGGTCATTTCTCTCCAAACCCATCGGAGAGAAGCTGGTCGAACGCCGGGATTGACGAATCGCCAACTCCAACCAGTAATTTGACAACTCCAGTGTTTTCGTCAGGCCCACATATTCCCAACTACTCAACTCCGCAATCGTCGCAGGTTTTGCAGAATTCCGCATTTGTTGTGTCAGAAAGCCGTCATGGAAGAACTAGGAAGTTAGTTCTTGAATGAAGCCAATTGTTCCAATCATTATCATTTATATCTGCAGATTGACGAGTAGAGTTCAAGAAATGTTCAAGGAGACTTTACAACGGCAACGAAACCATGGTAACTCGATAATTGCTCTTCAAGAACGTATGACGGCTGCAAGCGCTGCTCAACAATACTCCACCACCTCTCCAGCAGCCTCTGGATCTCCTACACCAGCTTCTGCACGAAACGGGTCACCGAATGAAGTTGATGACGATGTCAGGACTGACAATGCAAAACGTGGATCCTTTGCACCAAATGACCATCGTGAGCCAAATGAGCATCGTACACATCAAGAGACAGATGACGAAGACGAGGGTGACCAACGTCGTTGGTGTTTCTGTGACGAGAAGAGCTACGGAGAGATGGTTCGATGTGACAATCCAGATGTGAGTTATTTTTCCAAAGCTGGATAATGTTAGATAAGGTACAAATATTGTTGTTTCCTACACCAATATCGACACGAAATTCCTTATCTATTAATTTCAGTGCAATCTACGCTGGTTCCACTATCCATGCATTGGAATGGTTGAGCCTCCTGTTGGAACATGGTTCTGCCCACGTTGCGTTGTCAAGACAGGATTAGAAGAGGAGGAGGAGAAAGAAGAAGAAGACGAAGAAGAAGAGAACGGAGACGATCAAGACGAGTAATTAAATAACCAGCGCTTCTTCGAAAGATAAGAATTCAGTTTCGCGTCGTTTACTTTATGTACATTGATTCCTTGTTACCTTTATATTATCTTTGCTTCCAAATGAGTATTGATTCCCCTATATAATTAATTATTATATTGCTTTAAAAGATTATATTGCACCCCTTATTTCAACTACCCTCATCCCATTTATAATTTCTCATGATTCTCGAAAATTGCATTTTGTCACCCCTACCCAGACCCTCATGTACAGAATTTATTCTACTTTTCCAAAAAAATAATTTAGCTGTTTTCCAGCATTAGAAAAGGTTTCCCAATGTTCTATAATAATAATTCGTTGCTTTACTCTATAAGATACCAAAACTGTATGAACTCGTGTAATATATTCGCTTCCCTCTAACAATAAATGCAATAAACAACAGAAGAGATCCACTATAGTTGCCTTCTAAATGTGTGTTTCATCTGCTATTTTTTTCCTAGTTTTTTTCCAAATTTAGTCGCCTGATGACAGTTTTGCAGAATTTGAAAAAAACATGTCGAAAAAAAAGGTATATGTTGTTATGGACAGACAAGAAGAACGCCATGATCAACCATGGTCATCGTATCATATTGAAACATCTAAACGGTTAGATGTAATTTACGAAAGGTTGAAAGTGAGATACACAAAACGACAAGCATGGAATAGCAGCAAACGCATTTTAGGAATCAGGACTATTCGATGATACTCGAATCGAACATCTTCCAAGACGAGAAGCTACAGAGAAAGAGATTCAATCGGTGCACACGAAGAGATACGTTGAAAATGTCAAATCGACTGAAACAATGGATGCCGTATGCATCTATTAAGACATTCTTTCAATTTTTTTTTTACATTTTCAGGACCAACAGGAAGCTTTCTGTTCGAAGTACGAAGACATTTTTGTAAATTCTGCCACGTGGAAGCGCGCCAAGCTTGCTGCCGGCAGTGCAATTGATCTGGTGACAGCCGTTGCCATCAACAGAATACCTGGAATTGCATTCATCCGACCACCGGGACATCATGCGATGCCTGATGAAGGATGCGGATTTTGTATCTTCAATAACGTGGCAATCGCTGCAAAGGAAGCTCTCCGATGTGGATTTGCCAAGAAAGTGATGATTGTTGACTACGATGTACATGCTGCGAATGGAACACAAGAATGCATTGAATCAATGGGAGACAATGTCCGTCTCATTAGTATTCATCGGTACGAGAATGGGAATTTCTGGCCGAATATGCCACAAACCGGAATTTATCACAACTGTAAGTGATCAGATTCTGAGTTTATATTCCAAATTGCTTTTATTTTTCAGACACAAACACAATGAATCTACCATTGAACACCACTGGCCTTATTGATTCAGACTACTGTGCACTTTTCAGCCACATCATTATTCCATCCATCCACAGTTTCGAACCCGATCTCATAATTGTATCATCTGGATTTGATGCGTCACTCGGAGATCCGGAAGGTTATATGAATGTGACTCCTGCTGGGTTCGCAACAATGATTCGGATGATGATGAACACTGGAATTCCTGTAGCAGCTGTTCTGGAAGGAGGATACTTTCTGGAAGCATTGGCTGCTGATTCGGAATGGGTGTTGAAGGCTCTTCTTGGAGAACCAATTCCTCCAATTAATCTGGAACTTATCAATCCTGCGATTGCTGATACGATTTCTCGTGTTTTGTCGAAATACGAGGATACCTCATTTTTCCGGAAAGTTCAAGAGCTTCGAAAGTTAATTGGTCAAAGTCTTATCGAGGCGGATGTGAAGCAAACGGACTACAAAGGAGAACGAACTGTACATGCACCATATGATACTCGAGGGATCTACACACCCTTTGCGGATGAGAAAGTCAACAAATTCAAGGATTTATTAGGGTCCCTTCTCCAGAGTTACGAATCTATTGAGAAGCCTGATATTCCTTCTGTGTTCAAGTACGTGAACACCGACGATAACTTGTTGGATGTACAGGATGGACATCTCTTGATAGGACCAGGAAAAGCAATCAAGCTATTTGTCGAGCTCCTTTTTATATCTGCGTTTGATCCTCAATTCGTTTCGGATTCGTTTCTTGATGTCAAAGACACCAACTTCGATTCCATTCGGTTTGGTGACGGGCTTCGAAACCTTGACAGTATTCCAGCATTCAAGAACTTGCCCCTTTTCCAATTGTGATTTTTTTAAAGTTTGAATCGCTCTATTCTGTGATTTTCTTGTGCAATATGTGATCTATTTATTAATAAAATGTTGATCCTTTGTTTGCTATTTTAGAACTATTTTTTGTTCCAATGTGTTGTGCAATACTCTAAAAATCGCATTAGAAATACTTCTTCACATTCTCCGCGTCTCTCCAATTCGATGGGATTCTGCAGACTTCTGGTGCGAATGGCCGGCAAATGACGACAGAACTAGGCAGCCGCGACGCGACCGCAACGCGTGCGCTGTCGCAATTTTTCGCTTCCCGCCGTTCTTTGTAAATTCTCCGATGTGTCGGTTTTGAGCGCGTCTGCACCAGTTCTCATCTCTGCTCTAACGTTAAATTTACTTAATTTCTACCGTAGCCCGCTTAAAGTAGTCTTTAATATGCTAGAAATATTCTAGACCCGATAGAAACTCGAATTTTATCAAGAAATCGTTCAAAATGGTTACAGAGCAAACGAAAAAGAATCGATGGAGAACATCCCAGACGAAGAGCCGGCCGAATACTTGGAGCCAGTGGAAGAGGAGATTGTAGAAAGTATGTTCATTCAATTAATTTTTTTAAAAGTTTAAATTGAATTTCAGATGTAATTGAAGAGGAAGAAGTGCACGAAGAAGACGTGATTCATGATGATGAGATGATACAGGTTGAACACGAAGAAGTTCTCGAAGAAATTGTTGAAGAAGATGGCCTAGTAAGTTTCGTTTTCATTTCAACCTCGATGTTTACTACACCCAGATTTTTTCAGATGTATGATACGGATGGTAGAGTCGTTGAATATGAAGATATGGTGATGTATGAAGACGAAACAGAAGTGATTGAAGAATATGTGGAAGTTGAAGATCTTGGAAATGGTCGTTTCGCGTATGTAATGACTGATGAACATGGAAATCGACGTCTTTTGAAACCAGAGGAGGTTGAAGCTGTTAAGAAGACCGGAGTGATGCATGAAGTGCCTCCAACAAAAGCAAGTGGTAGTTCCGCTGGTTACCAGACTCACAGTGAGGAATCCCTGGTAGATGCAGTTCCGTCTCATTGTATTTTTTTTCCAGAAAGAGGTCGATTCCCTCCGAAACAGAAACCACGTTCGAATGTCCGGAGCCACATGTTCGTAGACAGAGCTGAGTACTTCCACGAGAATTCCAAGCAGGATATCAATGATATCACCAAAATCGATGTGGAGAAGTATGTTCCAGCAGTAACTGTAAATCGACGTCCGATCCCTCCGAGCCCACATTTCAAAGTAAAAGCCGCACGGAACAGAAAAAGTGCACCATGGCAGGAGGAGTCTGGTCCCAGCACTTCAATTTCATCTCGCTCGACACCACCACCTTTGGCTAAAGATGCAATGTTTCAAAGTCAAGATGATGACGTTATTGTTCGTTTCAAATGCCCTGAATGTGGCCAAGGATTTGCAAGCATGGATAGACACTGTGATCACATGCACAGAAATCATGACTGTCAGACGGTCGTCCGAGAAGTTGACTTTTTCGCCGATCGGGAATTTGAGAATTTCCTTGCAAAAATCGAAAAGGCAACACTCGGAAAAGAGCACGATGACCTGTTACGGAAAAAGTCAAGAACTGGGTCTTCTCAAGTGTTCGTCTGCAACTACATGTCGAAGGGTCGACAGAAAAATGCGGAACTTGTGGAAGTAGGAATAGCTGGTGCTGCTGAACGTCCACAGACAGTTTGCTCGGCATTTGTGCAGAAAGTTCACAGCTAGTGAGTCATGTTCATTCGTAACTTTTTAACTTTTTTTTTCAGCGAATGCATTCGTGTCAGATACTGTGATCAGCATATTCATTACGATGGCAACATAGGATTCCGTGTTCCACTCGCAGTAAAACGACGTCTTTTCGAAATGTCGTTAAGAGACTACCAATTGCGTGCATGCAGATTATGTTGAGTTTAGAGGCTGAGCAATTGCTGGTGCACCCAACTAGATTTGAAGAAAAACTCAAGAATCTGTCTCATGTTGAAATCGTAGAACTTCTCGGAATTATTAATGCTTCGCTGAGGAAAAGGCATGAAACTGAACGAACTGTTCGAGTTCCAATCAAATTTGGTATGCGTTAACCTTCCAAAATAATCATACGAACTGCCTAGTTTACAGGAACACTCAAATCAAGTGAAGGATCTCAAACTTTGATCGTGACACGTGTGGATGTTCCCAAAAAAGAATCTCGCAGAGATCTCTCTGATGAACCGTCAACTAGTGCTGGACCTATGGTCTATTCCGATGATGATGAGCCTGTTGTTGGAGAAGGTTGCGACGGATTTATGGAAGAAAATTTCTGTAAGTTTCACTGATCAAACCAATATTTAATTTAATAATTCTTTCAGTATACGACCCGCAAAACGATCGTGATCCACTTCTCGAAGAGCTCACTGAGACTGAACTGGGAGTACTTGAAGCGTATGAGCGTGATATCGACGCCCAATTGACTGAGGAGCAAAAGAAAGAGCGTATTCGTCAGAAAACCAAGTTTTCTCTCTCCAAAGTTATTGGAACTTATCAATCCCTAGACACTGCAACGCATGGACTTGCAGTTGGCGACCTCCATAAAGAAACCTTAACTCAGCTTCGTGAAATGGCTAGCTACGTTGTCGAAATTTGCTGCCAGCTCGACGCAGAAGTCAAGGCACAATACAATCCTGATCTTCGCGTGGATGACATTAAAAGAGATATGATTGCCGGAATCGCTCATCACGAAAGACACAGCCAACCAGAACGTCGCCAGAGAAGAATTTTAACATCAACAAGCCAAGGGGTGTCACCATTAAAAGGATTTCGCTCTACTCCTGCTCGTACTCATCAAGAGTACTCTGAACGTATTCTGGGCAAGCCTCCTCAGCAACCAAGTGCATCGTTTGATATGACTCAGCAGCAACGACTTCGACTCCTTCGCGAGGAGACTCTTCGAAACGCAGCTGAAGCTGGAAGTATTAATCCGGAAGAAGAAAAACCATTGCCAATTATGGCTCCAGTACCCGATGAGTTCAAGGCTGCTCCGTGGATTAAACCTGTGCGAAAAAGACAGTCAGGTCCGGGTGGTCCTTCGAAAAAACGTGGTCGGCCTGCAGCAAAGAAAGCTGGAGAAGCCGAAGACGACGCACAGATAGATGTTTCTGTAGAAGTCACTCAACAAGAAGGCGTCGAAAAGGATTCAGAAGGTGCTGCCATTCAATCTGAGCCTTCTGAGATTGTGGTGCCTGAAACCGCTTCCACCGCGTCCACCGCTCCTTCCGAGTATGATAAACCGTCTCAAAAAGAACCAGCAGTAACGACTGAAAAAGAAACAACTGAGGTACAGTAGTCCTCATTGTCTTAACGAAAATCTCAATTTTTGTTTACAGACTCAGGAACCAAAAGACGAGGACGATGAAGAAGAACCGTCTACACCATTGGTCCTACCAACCACAACTCGCACAGGACGTGTTGTAAAGCCCAAAAAATGGGAGGATGATTGATCTTTGCCTGAAAGCCCTTAAAATTCTCAATTTTTTTCCATTTTCTGTTACTGTTTTGAACATTTCCTGTTTTTCCACTAATATTTTCAGTAACCCCCCCTTTTTTTATAATAATTTCAGTTTTACTCCCTGTAAGTCGATAAATTTCGAAATTTAATATTAGCGGGATCCAATCATACGAAGGAGGATTAAAGACTTGAAGTCTAGAATACGATCTAAAAATTGTTCACTTCCGAACCTCACTTTGAGGTTTGTAAAGCGATCGAAAGGAATAAAACGTTACAGATTTATAGTAGAAATTTCGAATACAAATGATATGAGTATGAACAAAGTAAGAGCTTATAAGAACAATTTCGAAGGTTTTTTTGAGCGGTTCTAAGTGAATACCTACCGTATGGATGGTTTGCATTTTCATAGTGAATTTAAAGGGGAAAAAAGTGTTTTTGGGGAACATGGGGTCTGAAAATGAAACAATCCAACGATCTGAACGGGGTTCGGTGAACATAGCAAAATAAGTGGGTTGGGAGGGGGGAAACAGTGAAATTTTGGAAAAATGAAAGTGACAAGAGAAATGAAGAAAAGTAAGGAAAGTTGATAAGTTTATAAGAGAAATGAGGCACTTTTGGATAAGAGAATTATTCGTAGAAAGTTATTTTAGGAGAACGATTTAGGAGCATTCTTCTTCGTCTTCTTCTTCCACCAAACCGAGTGTGATTCTCGTCTGAAAATCAATATTTAGGGCAAATGCAAGAGAAAATCTTCTTTTCGCGGCCTAAGATCCCACAACGACAATTACCGTAACCTAGGAATATTCATATTTTCCAGATTTGTTTTCTCTTTTTTAAGTTAAAAACTGATTTTTGACGAGTTTTCAGTTGTTTTCACCCAAAAAAGTCCGTTCTTCGATTTTTTTGCAGAATTTTTAGACCTTTTCAGGTTTTTCAGCTATTTTTGAAGATTCTTTTTCGATTTTTCCGAATTTCTCACTGAAATTCGACGGGATGGTGTTTTGACTACTGAAGATTACTGTAGATTACTGTAGAAAACTACTTTCCTTTGTATTTTTTTTCTGCAAACACAATCACGTCAAAAGGCAAGTAAGTAGGTGATTCTGCTTGCAAAAAAAAAACTACAAACTACATGGTTTTCTACAGTAATCTACAGTAATCTTCCGTCAAGATCAACATCCCCTCAAATGTCAGACAAAAAAATTCGGAAAATCGGAAAAGAATCTTCGAAAATAGCTAAAAAACCTAGAAAGATCTAAAATCTTTGCGAAAAATCGGAGAAAAAAAAATCGATTTTCGTACTCGACGAAAATCAGTGTGAAACAAGAAAATAAGCATATTTTTAGGTTACGGTAGTTGTCGTTGTTCTCTTCAACATCTCCGATGTTTTCATACCAGAATATTACAATTGTCTCATCTTTTTCAAACTCACTTCAGTCTTCTCCGGTCTGATTGTCATTGCTGACATGACTGCTGCCTGATCGACCAAGAAGTTAGATGGTTTCTGGGCGAGACGAAGGGTCTCCTGAAGACGTGCTTCCGCCTTTCGAATCTTCTCAGTACATATATCGCCATCGGGTTTGAACCATTTTTTGAGATAGTCACGGAACAACTGAAAAAGAGATTTTGTAAACGATGGCACAAACCGGCTGATCAAACACAAATACGCTATTTGTGGGTGGATTTCAAAAAGAACATACCTGAGGTCTGGCGCAAATCAAAACGAATATCATCCATCCGAAAAGAACACACAATCCGAGATAGAAGGTGTTCCAGTCTTCCACGTCTTCGCGAAGAAATGGGTTTGGAGACATTGTACTCTGCAATGGGATTCTTGATTGGGGGAATTTCTAGAGAAAATGGTCAAAGCCATAATTTCTTATAGAATCGATATTTTTGGACCAGATAAACTGTGTATGATAGAAATAGTACTACAAAATGGTACAATTTTGAAAATTGTATCTTGTCTATTAACAAAGTTACATACTGAACAAAAACAAGCCCGGCGCGGCACCGCAGAGCAAGGTCACTTTATGGTTTGCAACTTTGTTCATAGACAAGATACAGCGTACCAAATAGTATCATTTTGTAGTACTTGGTGAGTTCTATCGCATCCAATGGTCCAATAAAACGTAGGAAAAAGCTAGAAATTCATTCCCAAAGTTTATAGGAAAAGCTTTCACCATACTTGGACCTTCGCGGGCCCTGCCATGGATTCTTTTGGGAGTAATATTTGTGGACCAGATAAATTGAATATGATAGAAGTCGACGAGTAAAATTATATCATATTATAGCACTTGTCAAGTTCCATCATATCCAATTTAGCTGGTTTAAAAATATTAATTTTGAAATCAATTATTGGAGGGCCCGCGAAAGCCCGGTCTACAAGTATGGTACAAGCTTCTCTCGAAAACTCTGGGGGAATGAATTCCTAGCTTTTCCCTACTTTTTATATGTCCCGAGAGACTGAAAACTTTTTGTTTTCTTTGATGAAAATGAATTCATCAAATCAAAAGAAAGCGCACCTTCTTGCTCCTTCAGAATTTCGTGGAACGACGAAGGACTACGAAGAAAGGGACTACGAAAAAATGTACTTCTTTTTGAGAAGGAGTGATTTCAGAAGAGAAACCGACAAAAAATTATTATATTCTGAAGGAAGGCAAGAACGAAAATTGGTGGTGGAATTCGATTTCTCTTTGTTCTCGGGATTCGTGCTTTTTGACAAAAAAATATTTGAAAATATGTGAAAAGGAAATTGGTTTCAAGTTGAAATTGTTTCCAATTTCCTGAATATCTGAAAATTTGATTTCCGTTTCATCTGAAAAACCAACCATTTGCTTTTTATGTCATGCAAATGCTTGAAGCCATATCATCTCGACGAAAAAATTGAGGAGTTTTAGAAGTGCTGAAATATAATTAGGATGAATAATCAGCTATTTTTAAGTCGAGCTACTAAGAAAAACAAAAAAAACAGAAGGAATATTCCAAAATTAGAGCTAGGGGAGCCGTCTCGAGATCAGGTTTCATCTCCATTTTCGTAGAGAAAGCAGAAGACGTAAAAATCCAGAAGAAGGCCTTCTGGAGATGTTTAATTTTTGAACAACGACTCAACCGGAAACCGGGGGGTTTCTGGTTAGACACTATTTTAGAGGGAAACTTTTTTCGACTAGGGATTCGAATGATGAGTTGGAGAAAAAATACTTTTTATGAATAAGAGTGTAAATGAATGGGAAGATGAATGGCAAGGAGTGAATAGGGTGGAAGCATAAGTCATGAATGGTTGGTTGATGAATTCAGATGAGATGGATCAGAATCTAAAAGTGATGAATTAAAAAAGAGGACTGGGTAAGAAGGGTTTTTTGAAATTTTTAAAGATTCTAGCGATTTTCAGAACATTCAAAAATTCTCGTTGTTTGAAACTTCCCGATTTTCTGAATATTAGAAATTCCTGAAATTTGGATTTTCTGAATGTTGGGAATGTTGCAATTTTTTGGATTCCCTATTTTCCGGAATATTGGAATTTGGAGGTTTTTGTTTCAAATTGAATTTTCTAAATTTCAGATTTTCTAAAGTAAAGCGTTGTACTGATCTCAAAAATTTGAGTGAAAAAATTTAAATAATCATCAGTGAACTGAGTTTCGAATAATTTTATCAACTTTGAGCTGAGTTATCGCTTGTCAAAGTTGATTCATCTCATGAAAACCACAGGAAACATTATGCTGTTCATCTTTGAAAAATCAAAACAATACATTGACTTGAGGAATTGCCTTGAAAATTTCACTAACTTTGAATCAAACGTAAAATTATGTTTCTTCAATTTTTTGAGCTATCAAGGTGCTCATGTCCAAAGATATACCCGCTTTTATTTTCCGGGTGCCACTCTGTAAATCCCAACATAGTATATCAACAAATTTGCGATTCTAATTTGAGGTTTCCATTCCAAACAATTAAAGTAAATATGAAACAAAATAACTTCAAAGATCTCAATGTAACAAAAATAAAAGCACAGTTGTTGACTTCGAAAAGAGATTCCAATATTACTGAAGCTCTACAAATTTTTTAAGAGAATTTTTCATTCTTATTCTAGAATCAAAGTTAATTTCCCTTATTTTTGTACAGTCCTTTAAAAACCGCTGGTTCAAAATAGCAGAAAATGTCAAATATTTCCTATTCTTCAAAAATTGCAGGTCTATTCCGCCTGACACCAAATACCAAACTCAATACATTCCCACCCCCAAATGAGAAGAAAAAACTGCTGATGGTGGTGGTCCGTTACCTCCTCCCTGAGCAACCGGAAGTTTGAAAGACAAACAGAAACAGAAAGAATGTGGATCTCGTGTGAACTTTTCAGAGCAAAACACAATACAACTTTTCGAATAAAAACCTCATAAAGTTGTTCACATAAAGCACAGCAGTAGTTGTGGTCCATGAACTTTTGGTTTGAAAAGAAAAACTTTTGAAAGTTTTCCAAAAACTTTCAAAACGAAGAGAGGCAGAAATGGGAAACGGGCGATTAATCATTTTAGATGTGGGATGGCATGTTTCCATTTTTGGTTAGAATAGGATTACTAGGGAGGGCCGAAAAAACAAAGAAACCCTGAAAAGGAGAAGAAGAAGCCGTTCAATTATTAGCTCTGACTCGTCCTACTTCTGTTCCGGTGTCTCTTTTTTTTGTGTGAAGAACAAAGAAAACTAGCAATAAACGAAATGGATGATAGGGGGAAAGAGAAAGAGAAAGAGAGAATGGGACCTCCATTTCTCTGTTTCCGAAATGAAAACGAAAGACACGTATGTGACGTCACAGGGAGCAGGAGGCATTGGGTTCGGACCTTTGGAAACAGCAGAAAGGATTAAAGAGTACTTGGAAATAGGAGAGACCGACTGACAAGTGCTTTTCTTCTACGTCTTTTGGGTCACACACCTTTTCACCTTGTTTGCCAATTATTTCTAACTCACTGAATTCGGGGCAAAACTGAGAAATTGGGTTTTCTGAAAATAGGAGTTCCCTAGGTACTTCGCAGAACTCTTTAAGACAATGATCCTAAATTATGTGGTCCATAATCAGGCGATGTTGAAAAATGTTGAATACGGATGTCAAAGTTTTGTTATCAAAAGTAAGCGTAACGATTTTGAATGAAGCTGCGGATAATTTTTTAAAAACCGATAAAAATTGGAAGCAACCCAAAAATTGATTTTAGAATTAATCTCTTTTTGTGCTAATAAACACTGGAAACATAAAAAATTTTAAATTTAGTTACAAGATGGCGCGTACCGTATATTCTCTGATAGAAGCCCACACAAGTCGTCAACTTATTTATCATAATATCGCCAAAATTTTATCAGTGACTAATTTTTCCTATCTCTGAAAGTTGACGGTTTGGGAGGGCTTCTATTAGAGCAAATACGGTAATTACCCAAACTAAAGTTTGTACCAGCATAAAATTTGAGTGAAGCATTGTACTGGGCTCGTATTCGGAGTACATAAATTCAAATAACCAATTAGTAAACTGGTCGAATTTCAAATTAATTGATCACCTTTGAACAGAGTTATCGCTTGTCAAAGTTGCTTCATCTCATAAACATCACAGCAAACTTCAAGCCGTTCTTCTTTGAAAAACCATAACAATGCCTAAACTCGATGTAATGTTTTGAAAGTTTTAGAAGGTTTGAATAAAGCATAAAATTATATTTCCACTAATTTTCGTGCTTCCAAGATACTTATTTCTGAAGATACAACTTTTTTTGTTAGTTCGGGTAATTGTGAGCCACCCTGTAGATCCCACACATCAGCACATTAGAGATTCTAATTTTGAGGCTTCCATTTCAGGAAAAATCGAGAAAATGTAACATGGAATAACTTCCAAGATCTCAACGTAAGTTACAGTAGTTGACTTAAGAGGAAGAACTACAAAATTTAAAATAGATTTTTTTGTACTCGTCCTGGAATCGAAATTATTTCTTAACGGATACAAATCTAAGACTTCCTACGAATCTATCCATCAAACTTTAAAAAAAATCAAGTGACAATCCATTTTGGCAAAAAAAAGAGAAGAAAAAGTTGAGGTAACCCAGGTGAAATGAATCAAACAAAGTTATTGGGGTAAGAGAAAAGAAAAATGGAGAGAAAGAGTACTTATTCATCATGTTGTTATGTTGTGTTCAACCATTTCTCTTCGTCTTTCAGATTTTTTTTTCCATTATAAATTGTTTTTTCTTCTTCTTTTCTTTTAGGATTCAAAATCCTCTCTCTCTCTCTCTCTCTCTCTCTCTCTCTCTCTCTCCCCCTCTCTCTCTCTCTCTCTCTCTCTCTCTCTCTCTCTCTCTCTCTCTCAGCCCGGAGCAGGGAAAAGTGAAGAAACTTCCGTTTCAAAATGATAAGAAAAAGTTTGAAAGTCTCTAAAAATTCAGGACTTTAAAATTAATATTTTTAGAGGCCTGTTAAACTTTCATTTAATAAATAAGCTCTTTGGCACCATATGAACCAAGAAAACTGGACAGCTATAAATACATAGAAAAAATTGGTCAAATCTGCGTCAGAACTCTTTCTTTTTTCTTCTTTCTCGTCCTTTCCTTTTCCTTTTCTTTTTTGCAAAACAGACTTTGACCTCGTTCTCCTTTTAAAGGGCAATAGCTGCTAAACTAGTTTTGAATCGAAAATTTGGTTCTAAGGAAAACTAGAAACTTTTTCGAATGTTCTTCGATATTCTGATGACGAGAGGAGAACGTTAAAAATTCGATGCAGGCACGCAAAGGGGCGAATTCTTTCGAACTGACATCCGTTCTTTTTCGATTTTTAAAACGCAAAAAGTGACAT